GGTACCAAACATTCTCAAAAGCGTAGTATGCCTTTTGGATTGTCTGTAACAATTTTGAACTGTTACTGCTACACTTGTAACTGCTGCTCACTTGCACCAAGGGCAATATACAGCTTGCACTGACCAACATGGGCGTACTAGGGAAGACATTTTGTTCTGCTTCCTAATGAGAAGTAACGACGGCTGGGTGCTTTGAGGTCTCCTGTCAGCTTCATTTGTAAAGCTATGCTTTTGCTGGTGCAGACACAGCTGTTATCTGTGACAGACGTGGTTATACACAGCAATCAAGCAGCAACTAAAACTGTGTCTTTCACCGTTGGGGAATACGTCAGTTCAAGGAATGGATCGTTCTGACAATCAATACTGTCTAGTGGAGACACAGACATAACTATTCATAGCGAGTCGGGAAATGTCGGCAATGTTCCTTACGTTAACGCTGATTGGTTTATTTGAATTGATTACGGTTGGCAGAACGTAATACGGCTGCGCGAAATTCGTACTGTATTGTGCATAATCACGTCGTCGGCAGAACGTACTGCGCCTGCACGAATCCGCGATTTTTCTAGCCTCCATAGCATGCCAAAAACTGGGGGGTTGGGGTCTTTGGGAGCTTTTATGTGCTATTTTCTGATTGCATATAGACAACATAGCCGGCCTGGTTGAATCACCCCCCGTTTTTTGACTGGGCTAATCAGAAAACAGCCGAAGACCACCAAACCCCCAGTTCTATAAGCGGAGGCTACGATTTTTCGAGGTTTTCGTTGGATTTTTGGTCAACGTTGCATCAAAATTTTGCCTGTTGCAGACGATATCTTTCCCCGACACAACCTTTGGAAACTGCAGACGGGATGTTAACCTTATATGCGCCAATACGACCTTACATGAGACGTTCTGCCGAAGTACTATGCACAATACATTACGGGTTTGGCGCAGGTGCAGTATGTATGTTCTACCAACGTACTTCTTTAGAATATGTCTAGTCGAGACTATCCCACGAGCTCTACTGGCTTAGCTCACTCGGAAACCAACCCGTCATGCTAATACCTCACACACAGCCGTTAACAGTCCACTGGACTCTAGAAAATAAACGCTCAGACATTGACGAAGCACCTGATTCTGCAAAAGGCTTGGGGAGACCTAAAGAAAAGCCTGAACCGTGTTTTCTTCGACTTGATATGCACAGACACTCATGTGTTCTGTCGTACGTGTGCAAACGGTGTGTAAGTTACAGTACGTGCTCTAATTGTACACGTCTTGTGCATTTTACCTAGGTTGTGAAACATTTTATGTTGCATGGGTGCATTAAAAGGCGTGCCGATGCATAAAAAGCAGTAGTATTAGGTTTGCTGACAAACTGCCCATTTCCTACTGTTATTATTACTTATCTCTAACAGACACCCTGTGCCGCTAAAATGTGTAGGAATTTTCGGAATATGATTTTATGAGACACACACACGTGTACATGAGCCCGCCTCAGCCTTGACCTCACGGCTCAGGCAAGTCAATCGAGGTAACGTCACGTTCATGTACATCATAGACGTGATACGGGTACAGATGTGATAGTGGCCCGTCTGCAAATCGTACCGCACCTGCTACACAATACGTTATGTGTTTGTTGTGCGATAAAATCCTAAAGAAAGCATTTCGGACTTTCTGGAGGATGGACAGTAATTTAGTAAAGTTAAACACATGTTTATGTTTACCGAAGGAAAGCATATTGTTTTTGCTACGTTTCCTCTTCTTCTTCTTCTTCTGTTCCAAACACTAACCTCTGACCTGGTCAATGACCTGAATTGTTGACGTCTGTCACCATGACAACTCATGCATAATGTTGCAATTTTATAGTAGGAGGGATTTAGACTCCTGCCTGACCATATATATGAATGTATTTGAGTAAGAATGAACAGAGCAGACCATATGCGAAGATAAACATTATGCATTGGCTTTGCAAATGTTACCTTTCTACATTTATTAATTTGATGTTAAAAGCATATTGTTGACTTTGGCCAAGGCCCCAAAGGCTCAACCCTACGATTGCCACAATAAAAAGTCGCGGCAATTTCTGTGAGAGGATACAGCAGTGATGATTGGTGGATTTAAATCCCCCAACCCATTTGATTGGCTGAAATCAGACAGCAATGATTATTGGTTTTTAATCCTCCCGTGTGATTGGCTGCGAGGAAGGGAATCTGAAGAGTTGAGGAAAGTGAAGAAGACTCGAGTAACGCTTTTTGCGGTCGGTTTTTGGTGCTGAGAAATTTATTTTACTTTTAAGTTAGTATTTCGTTGCAACAACATATGCAGCCACCACAGGACATGTACACCATTACTTAGCGTAATTGGTTTGACACAGATACGCACAGAGGAGTGATATTAAAGCGTTTTTGTACATTGCAATTATCCTAAAAAGGGAAGAAAACCATGCAAGTAGGATTCTGGTGGCAGCGTTCTAATGTAATGAAGAAATCACAACCACGCTCACAATTTTCTAGGCCAGTCGGTAATACAATTTAAACCGAACCCAACTCTGCCGCCCACTCAACAAATTGGGTCACAAATCCCCTATTCGCTTTGTCTCGTTAGATAGGACAAACCGGAGGCGTATATATCTAGGGTAGTCATGACGGCATAATTTTCTAGAACTATCGGCATTACCATAACCTGTTCTTCAGGCAGATATAAGTAGCCGGCTCGATCATTCTCGGTGTTAAACGTCTGTTGTTTGCTTTGAAACACCTTTTAGTCTTTTTATTGAAAACACATTGTTTTCGCTCTGTTTCTTCTTCTTCCTCTTCTTCTTCTCCAAAACCAAAAATGTCAGTGACCTGAACCAGACTGTCTATCACCATGGTAACTAGTGTTGGGTTTCATCATGTTGTAATTTTATAGCAAGAGGGATTTAGACTTCTGTCTAATCATATACATGTATATGAGTGTGTTTGAGTAAGAATTAACAGAGCAGACCATATGCGAAGGTAAACATTATGCATTTGCTTTGCAAATGTTACCTTTCTAGTCTTGTATTGCACTTTTTATACCCAACTCTGCTAAGTGTGATTGCACGCTAGTTTGGTAGATAGTACTAGTCAGTACTAGTCATGATCGGTGTGTTAAGACGCTGATCAAAGATTGTATCGTGGCAACAGGTGCCTGGATAGAAACCATCGTAGAGACACAATATTGTATCCAGAAATCGTGCCTATCTAGTTCTATGTCTGAATGGGTTTAGGGTTATAGGATCAGGCACGGTTCTGGATAGTCTCCACGTATCCAAGAACGTAGATTTGCCCCAGTCGCGGTTCTGGATAGGCGTGGAGTCGTGGACTATCCAGAACGCTGCCTGAACATGGTTCTGGATAAAGCTAAGCATGGTTCTGGGTACAACGCACTTGCTGATTTGTGATGTGTAGCTTAACCTTCTCCCTGCTGCCTGTCATGTTAACAACCACTGTTACCAACACAAATCTGCTACCAAAAGGATATTCAGCATTTAGATTTAGAAAGTTAAACAAATTCAACCCAACTTCTGAAACAGTTCCAGGGATTTGATTTTGCGGTCCACAATGAAGAAGAGTTTTAATCTCATTAAAACAAGGCAAGCATACATCTGAAATGCCGCGTTCGAATTCGTATAAATACATGCACAGATGGTGGGTTTATGTATTGGTACGTTGTAAACCACGGGTGGCCAACCACGTACCTTCTGTAATGGATAAAAATCGATGTGTATATGACCTCCGGTTGAAGCTGTAGTGTTAGTGTTCTATATTAAGGGTGGAGTGAAGTGTTTGTAAAGCCTAGACGGCAGGATTTTTCGTCTGGCCTTTTTAAAGGTTATTCTTTCTTTCTTCTTTCTTTCTTCATTCTTTATTTCAGGCATAAAAATATGTCTATATGAACAGATATTGCGGAAGAATCTGTTGCGGAAATATTACTTCAGATTTGAGAACAGATTGGATAATGTTGGATAATTTTGAGTGCTGCTTTGCGATTGTAAAAACTGTGTATTTGTATTTACTATGTACAAAATTGTAAAAAAAGTCAGTGTTATTCAGCTTGGTTGACTTGTAAACTGGCTGCAAGGCTAATTTTATTAATAAAAATTGAAACTTAATTGTAGAACAGTTTTTGGGCCGGCTGTCAAATATCTAAATATTGTACACATTCAGCATATTAAAATCAGATAAAGGGAGCTCAAAATTTATTTCGTAGGCCAGATTAACATACAGGTAATTGATAGGCTTTTGAACGGACGGCTGGTAGAAACTCGTGATATTCGAAGTCATAAAATTAGAATGATACCCACTCAGCAAACAGTATATAATATAATAATCAATAAAAGTAGAGTAAAAAAACAACTGCTACATGCCTATGTTTACCGTGGTAATCTATACAACCTAAAAGGAAAATCCAGTCAATAATTATAAGCCTGTTGCGGGTCTACCTAATTAACCGTGGAACATTTATATTTTGTTCAGGAGACGTTTTGTCTAGCGTTTCACCAGTAAGGCCCAGTGCCATCTGGCGTGCAGCTAACTATTGTAATATGAGTGCTTTGGAGACTGACAAAAGGGTTTCAGGGCAGTTCAACTGAATTGTAAAAGTCAATTTCCCGGTCAATCTTTTTAAATGTAGTCAGTTCAACCATATCCCATAGCTATTTACATATATCTTTGTGCATGAAAAAAATGCAATGTCACCAATACAAAACGGTTGACCGGTCCTAGCCATTTATTGCTGGTACAAAAAAGCATTGGCATCATTTAAGTATTAATAAATGGCAGTAAATGTCAATATCAGACAGATTTCCTCATCCAGAATATATCTGCATTGCCTCCTAGAAATTACACTGAATGCCGTAAATTTTTGTTTCGTTTATTTACATCTCCATTAGTGAATACATCCACTAATCTTCCTGGGGCCCATTTAAAACAGTTTAATACAAAATATACAAACGGAATGTAATGAAATAATTGATACGGTATGTAACAAGTACGTACCTGAGCCCGGCTTGTATCATGAACATTCTCGGGCTGCGGGCGCCCGTGTATCCGGAGCGCACCCCGCGAAACTTCTCCTTGGCCACGTTGATGTGTGCCACCAGCTTGTACACAAACAGCACGGACCCGCTCAGGATCAGGAAGAACACGAAACGGAGCTTCATCATCCTTCAAATTCTACCCGTGCTGCTAGTAATTCCAATTCATCACCATCTCCAATCGGGCAGCCATCTTAGAATTCTGAAAGAATTCTCTCTCTCTCCCGCCTGGAAAATTAGCTCCTTCAGAAGGGAGGTTCTGTGATGCCGAGTCGGTTACATGCTGGCTTACGTACGGTTGTGTTTCCCTCAGAAATATCGGCTTTTGCCGACTGTCGTCTGCACCGGCGCAGATATACCTGCGATTACGTCACGTCCGTTGCCAGGGGCAACCGCAGACGATATTTGCCTCACTGTTCAACGGTTCCTCCCCCTCCGGCCGTGCGAAATGCCTAACCCGTTGGAATACCAGTGAAACGCCTCACTAGAAGAACTCACTGTTCAGACCTATTATCCACGTAGAGTGCATGATAATGAAAGACTTGGTATTCCCTACTTTACCTGGGCGTGTGTGTTGTGACCTTAAATATTATGATCATAAATCGAGCAGCTCTTAAGCGTGCCTTCTAACTAATCAGAGCTCATCCGTAATTATAATGGCACTTCGACGTTGGTATTCAGTACTGCGTCGTATGCACATCGAAAATTTGTAATTATTGTGTGTGTGTTCTGGCTAATATTGCTCTAGATTTGTTGCATGTGTGTTTTGCCTTTAAAAAGCGTTGATGACATAAGAAGGTGATATGTTGGTATTCAGTATTGCACGTATACTCATCGTAAATTTACAAATATGTGATTATTGTGTGTGTTTTCTGGCTAATGTTACTAGATTGGTTATAGGTGTGTTTTGCCTTTAGAAAGGTAAAATATCCCTGTGTTGATGACATAATAGGGTGGTATGTTCGTGTTCAGTACTGCATCGTATACACATCGTAAATTTACAAAATATGTAATCATTGTGTGTGTTTTCTGGCTAATATTTCTAGATTAGTTATAGGTGTGTTTTGCCTTTAGAAAGGTAAAATATCCCTGTGCTGATACCATAAGAAGATGGTATGTTCGTATTCAGTACTGCGTCGTATACACATTGTAAATTTGCAAAATATGTTATCATTGTGTGTGTTTTCTGGCTAATATTGCTACTAGTTGCATGTGTGTTTTGCCTTTAGAAGAGTGAAATATCCCTGTGTTGATAACATAAGAAGGCGGGTCACTCTTGACATCAGTAAACCCATTCAGATTGCATTAGGCTAAGCCTGGAGAAACCAGCGCAAATCCCTGACTAGAGTTTAAACAACCGCGGCATCTCAAGTGCCTGCTGTAATGTGCTATACATATGCATGTGTCATGGACAGCATAATTAGGCCACAGCAAGGAAATTTTATGGTTGACATCCTCCACAGACACCAAATCTAATGCGATAGGGTGAAAAAAAACAAGGTGGGCCAAAAAAACAAGATTTCTACATTTGCAAATTTTGACATCATAAACCTTGTTAAACAAGAAATGATACCTACATTGTGCTAACTTTACTGCCAACTATTGCTACATCCATTTGTCACTGAAACAACTTTGAAAAATAAATTTTTTAAACATTTGTACAAGTGGTTTTGATTCAGTGGGAACTCAGTGCTTTGTTTTGTCTTCCCCCTTCATATCTATCTGCCATTTACGTTCCGGCATGGCAAGGCATGCGATTATGCCCATTTTTGGCATGTTGACCACTGTCAGAGGGCAACAAAATTTCTTGTGTTTTTTTTTTCCAAAATCAGGCGAAAATTAATGCGCGCGCTGATGTCATCCATAAAAATTATTTGCTGTGGCCTTAGTCCATACGTCTATGATATGGTGATGCATGAAGACACCTACGTGTTCCGTTGTCTTGTCTCATATACCACATGCGTTGGCTTATTATTAGTTTTGCCACGGTAGATGTTTTTTTCCACACATATCTCAAAAAGTTACATAACACACAGCTATACTCTTACATAAGCCCAGGCTACTTGAGTGAATTTTATAAATAGCGGGAAGATTTGATAGTCACTTTACCCTAGATTATCTTTGATGGTTGTTAAATCTGTATTCACATGTTGGGAGGGGATTGCGCTCTACATACTGTACTGACACTAGCTTGTGCAGGTGCCGGATAACCCCATTGATAAGGTCCTGTATGTAGGGTAAAAATTCTGTACTGACATTGAGAGAATGCCGGTGCAATAGCTCAATTGGTAGAGTGCTCGTTTTGTAACCGGGAGGTCGTGAGTTCAAACCCCGGCCGGGTTATACCAAATGGTACACACTTCTTTCTCTGCTTAGCACTCAGCACATATGAGAAAGAGTGTGGGAAGGTCAAACACACAGCACTACCAGCGGACTAGCCCCCTGCTGTAGTGCATTGCACAACTGTGTGTCGCCCAAGGGCTACGAAATGGAGATGGGCACCACCCTACGCTCGGGCAAGAGCACGGGAGACCTTCTTCTTCTTCTTCATTGAGAGAACAACGGAGGTAGTTAATAGTCTGAATTGACGACAGCTTCTGTCCTTGTAGCTGTTAAACATTCCCAGTAATGCCGGTGTGCCAGTGGGGAAATTAGAGAGAAAGACACAGGCACGGAGTAACCTACATTTACTAGCCCTGGATGTGGTGCAAACGCTTATATTGACAATGGATCCTGTCTTTGGTGCCGCCGTATAAGAACCAGAAAGAGAGACATTTGTTCTGTATCATCTACACTGATGTGTCCTGTAGAGGCCTATACTAACAACGATCCCTGTCCTTGGTGCTGCAAAGCCTACACTAACAACGATCCCTGTCCTTGGTGCTGCAAAGCCTACACTAACAACGATCCCTGTCCTTGGTGCTGTAAAGCCTACACTAACAACGATCCCTGTCCTTGGTGCTGAATATGATTCACATTAACGATGGTATGGCCACGGGCGAGCAAAATAGACACGCGCGCTGGTGCTAGAGAGCCTACAAGACTTAATTACATCTGAAATGTGAAAGATTATACTGTCCTTGGTTCCGGAGAAACGTTTTAAAAAAGATATAGAGATACTTTTCACTGAATAACCTACATTGATCAGTCTTCTATGCAGTGTAGAACATTTCCTGTCCTTGGTGCTGAATAACGACCACACGAACACCATTGTATAAATAGGAAAACTAGAGAGGGAGGCACATGTACTGAATAACGTTCATTGATTAGTCCTGTATGTAGTGTAATAGCCTACACTGACAATATCTTCTGTCCTTGGTGCTGAAAAAGCACTCATACTATCCATGCTGGAACCGAGGAGAAAAAGACTAGAGAGAGAGACACTTGTACTGAATAACGTCCATTGATTAGTCCTGTATGTAGTGTAATAGCCTACACTGACAATATCTTCTGTCCTTGGTGCTGAAATAACACTCACACTAGCTATCCATACTGGAACCGATGAGAAAAACACTAGAGAGAGACACTTTTGCTGAATGATTTCTATTGATGAGTCCTGAATGTAGTATGGACTAATATACCCTGTCCTTGGTGCTGAATAACGTCCACACGAACACAATTGTATCGAGAAGAGAAATATAGAGAGGCACTTGTACTGAATAACGTCTATTGATCAGTCCTGCATGTAGTGTAATAACCTACACTAACAATAACTTCTGTCCTTAGTGCTGAAAACGCACTCATACTATCCATGCTGCAACCAATGAGAAAAATACTAGAGAGAGAGAGAGAAAGACACTTGTGCTGAATCAGTTCTGTATAAATGGAGTAATAGTCCCCGTCCTTGGTGCTGAATAACGTTCACAACAGGAAAACCTGAGATCTGGTATCATTTCTGACGATCACAGAAACCCTGAAGCTACCTCCGCTACTGCCGATTGTTCCGGTGTTAGATTACAAACAAACGGAGACCCCATGAGTTCATTATTTGTCTCTATCAGACTAACTATGCTGGTTGTATATGGGGAGAATATTTGCCAGGGGAGTTTGGCGGCCTTGGGGTTTGAGGGAAAGCATCAGCCTTTCGCGGACTGTCTCGCCTGGCCAATTTTACCCTCCTTTTGTGCCGAACGCTACGATCCGTATTCCCGTAGAAAGGCCCGGTGGAGGCTAACCCGCTTTGCTTAACGCCCCCGCCGCAGCGACGGTTTCATACACCCACACTCGGGTTCCTGTTTATGAGAAACATTCTTCTTCCACTTATCAATTTCGCGCAGCTCTATCCCTACATCTCTTTGTGAAAATCCGTGGAACGATTTTCCAACAGCCCTCGAGTGGTTTGGTTGGTTGTTATCCACGTAAGGCCATGTTGATTTGATTATATGGATGACATCCTCCGGGAACCCCAAAATTGATGCGCGCGTGCGAATAAAAAAAAGTTTTACAAAAAAAAGTTGCTTTCATGAAATCTACGTGGTCATGAGGGTTGAACAAATGGGACGGAATATGGTATGGCGAATAATCTAGTCTTCAAGTTCATTTCTTTACAATTTCGTCTTTTTTCGTTTGATTTTGGCATTCTACGACATTGGTATGGTTTTTTTGTAACTTACGGTATATTTTTGCTCATTTTGCAACTGTTTTGTACGATTTACAGTATGGTTGAAAACTTTTTTTTTTAAAACGGCCGAAAATTCATGCGCGCGTGGATGTCATCCATATAATCAAATCAACATGGCCTAACTGTGGAAACAGCGGCAAACTGTCTGATCTTGTCCGCAGGGCTGAATCCTTTGAATATTGTCTGCTTCAAACGCAGCTCATCCCGTAGTCCCAACCTCACCTCCGTCAAAATTTTGAAAGACATAAAATGCAAAATCTTTATCTATCTTTTTCAATTGCCTTTTCTTAAATTTGGTTGGCACATTATTTAAATAAACAGTTACCATGAAAATGAAGAACGGGTACGAATCATACACAGAGGCATGTACAAAATCTCTACAAAGTCAATAAATAAACCATTCATTTAACTTAAGAACGTTACAAATAAAGAGTAATAATGAATTACGCACAGAAGTATGCACAATTAAAACCCATACATGATTGATAAAAAAAATTCATTTTTACTTGAAAACTTAAAGCGTGGCACGCTAACCTTTAGAAACAACATCAATCAAGAAAAAATTAACGACATAAATCAAAATAAGGAGGACATGTATCTATCTGTAATGAAACACAACCGCTTCAACCATCAATCACACCAATAATTGCTATGCTCTCCTTAGTTGAACTGCTGACTGTGAGAGACGTGGAGGATCAGTCCTGTGTTGGACAGCTCAGGAAAGGCCACAGGTGGCAGACAGGCTGCGATGCAATCTGGAGGACCGGGCGATTTAATTTTCTGCATCGTTGCGCGGTCATGACTGACTCTGTATGTCGGGTAATGGATGGTGACGTACGCACACACCCACAGCTGCACCTGAGGCTTACAATGGGTTTACGCAGGGACAGGGTTTTTCATAGCCTCTACCAGGCTTCGTGGGATACGGCTGAAAAGAGTAGAAACTAGAAAAGCAAATGCATCTGGTCTGCTCTGTTAATTCTTACTCAAACAGATTCACATACTAGTATATGGTGACAGGAGTCTAAATCCCTCCTGCTATAAAATTGCAACATTATGTAACCCGACACCAGTTGCTATGGCGAGAGACAGTCTGGTTTAGTCACGTCAGAGCTCGAGGTTACTGTTTGGAGAAGAAGAAGAGAAGAGGAAACTGAGCAAAAACAATATGTTTACCTAGTACCTGTACAAAGCCATGCCATATTGACAGTATGAACTGCATTCAAGTGTTTTGGTAAGTATGTCAAGCTTTCCTGCTCCAGCATTAGAAGGACAGGGGAGGAAAAATTTACTGTCTAGCGGACCAACTCCCCGGCATGTTATCTCTCTATTTGGCTAATTTCTACTCTTCCTAGCTGTCTCAAAAAGCCTGGTAGAGGCTAGGGTTTTCCTAGTCTCCACAAAACATATCCCCATGCACGTTTCGTTGCTTTAACGAGCTTGCTACCTGTAACGACCCTTCCTAAAGCAAACCAAGATCTCTCCTTTGATGATTTTCTCTATCTGTTCCATACTGTACAAATCTCAGCTTTAAATTGGAACAGACCCCTCCAGGGGTTGACCTAAATCACATCAATTCAATTGACCAATGGCGGGCGCGTGACATTAACGACCGTTATGGGCACCTGTTTAAACTTTATAGAGCGGGAATCGCTTGCATTGATTGCGGGGTTCACTGAACCTTTCCCCTCGGTAAAGTAAGATATATGATCTGTGGAATTGTTCCAGATAATCAAGCGCCATGTCATTTATCTCCATTGACAGTTGCGCGCAGTGCGTAGTCGTGATATAGCAGCAGGGGATGCTAAAACCAGCTCGTTCTGATCCTGGATTTTCGTGTGCAAAACTTCAATAATTATGGCTTCACTACTATGTGGTGAAGACATATTGTTTTTCCTCGTGTTTCTTCTTCTTCTCCTCCTGCTATTTAAATCGATTCAACTCCTTCATTTTGGGGCCAAATAACATGAAATTTGGCATGAAAACAAAACCTCCATAAATTTATACAGACGAGCAAATGAAATATGTTTCTTGAACTTTTAAGTTTCTTATGTAATACACTTCTTTATTCTAAATCTGTACCAGAAGGTGACAGGTTCTTCATCACTCTTTTTTTTTAATTTGGCAGATCATCTATTATACGTTGCTATATGGCTGAAAGTTTAGATAAAGATAGGACTGTAGTATTAGATGAAGATACAACACTAGACAAACAGGAGGTGACAATTTCTTCATATTTAAATTTCTTTTACTTTTGCAGATCATCTATTACCTTGCCATATGGCTGAATATTTTAAAGGAAAATGCGACTGTAGTTAAGATGTAATGTAGATAAAGATACGCCACTAGATGAACCCGCAGGTCCTGGTGTGAATTTTAGATTGCCTGGCTTAACCGGAGTGCCATCACTGTCTGAGACCATAAGCCATGAAGAGTGCGCGGCTTTCCTTGAAGGTAGCAGCGGTAAATTACCCCTGGGAAGCCGGCTTACATGGCGCGCAATCACGGGCTACTGAACGGATAAAGAAAGCCCACGGGAAGAGGAGACCTAGTTAGATCAATCGTAGATGCAGTGTCTGTATGTAGCATTATAGGTTACCGGCACTATACTGTCGATGTCACTGAACGTAATTGATGCCCAAGAAATAGGACTTGATAAATGCCAAGCATCTAGATATATTACTAGTATTGTGTGGTTTTACCTAGATGGAATTCCCACCGAAAGTTAACTGTCCAAGAAATAGGACCTGATAAATGCCAAGCATCTAGATATACTACTACACCGTGACTAGTATTGTGTGGTTTTATCTAGATGGAATTCCCGCTGAACGTTAACTGTCCAAGAAATAGGACCTGATAAATGTCAAGCATCTAGATATACTACTACACCGTGACTAGTATTGTGTGGTTTTACCTAGATGGAATTCCCGCTGAACGTTAGTTGTCCAAGAAATAGGACCTGAAATGCCAAGCATCTAGATATATCACTAGTATTGTGTGCTTTGCCTAGATGGAATTCCCGCTGAACGTTAGTTGTCCAAGAAATAGGACCTGATAAATGTCAAGGATCTAGATATATTGTGTGGTTTTATATAAATGGAATTCCTGCTGAGTTGTCCCAAGAAATAGGACCTGATAAATGCCAAGGTTCTAAATATGTTATGATGTGGTTTAAAAGGTGAGATAAAGCCTTGGGTCGATTTCGGACAGAAACAAGAATTCGAAGATCTCATACCTCCGATGAAACATTTTGTGAATTTCTTGTTTTGCTCATTATTGTGAATTTCTCGCTGATTCTGCCTATGCATTTTCCACTGGGTCTCATATAAGGCAAAAGACACGCAGGACATTGAAGACAGGAGATGAAATAACCTTTTTCGGGGACCTTTGAGCTAATTTCCTGTCAGCTAATTTGAGCTAATTTGCCTAGCATGTGGAATTAACACACGAAAACCGAAAACAAAACCCCCGTACACAGAGACTAAAATGACCAATTTGCCACGAGATACAAAACATGACTGAACCACTGCACTGATATATATAATGTTCAATATGAAATTTAACACTTCCCACCCAATGCCTTAAACAGAGAAGGACAGAATTACAGATACAGACGCTGGTGTGGTTATACATACCGGCTATACAGATCATGCAGTACACTGTACACATTATTAAAACGTCCGGTACCAATTTTTCATCCATATATGTCGCCTGGAAATTGCGTAGTTGGGCAGATGTTTGTGACACACACGTGCGTAAGTGTTAATCCATTGCGTGGTGTATATGTGTGGGTAAGGTTTACGGAGGCAGAGAATGAGCACGTGTACAGTACACGTGATGTTACTAACACGTGTCCTGTCGTTTTCATATGTACGTCACTGCGGATCGCACACGCTTCAGGCGATATTTCATTGGTTTTACCGCCTCTCATGCCTTCCAAATGAATAAACATCAAGGCACTGGTATCTTTAAACCAATAATCCAGACAGGCAACCAACGTGATTCAGATGCAAGCACAGCCAAAGTTTTGATTTGTTGTACTATCACACATCCACACACAGGTATACATGTCTGTCCGTAATGCTGAATGCCATCCACACACAGGTGAGCATGCCTGTCCTTGGTGCTGAACACTCTCCACACACAGGTGAACATGCCTGTTCTTGGCGCTGAACACCATCAACACACAGGTGAACATGTCTGTCCTGGGTGCTGAACACCACACACACACACTGGTAAACATGCGCATGCCTGTCCTTGGTGCTGAACACCATCCACACTAGGGCTGCGTACCTAAACGTAACATCAGGTACAGGTACAGGTACCGGTACAGAGGTTTAGGTACAGGTCCGGACCTGTACCTGTACCTCAACAATTTGACAAATTAACACGTGTTCTTCACGGAGGCTTACGCGGCAAAATACAGACACAACACAAAAGCAACAAAGGCCTCTGACCTGATTTGAGTTTGTTGACCAATCACAACCCTGGATCAGCCACACTCTCGCGATGTCTAGTGAGACTGAGGATCTCAAATCAATCGACGGTGTTAACGTCTTTTCCAGTGCTAATTTTTCGTCTTTGTGGTAGCATTTACCTATCTTTAGTCATATACATGGTGTAAACTAGCTATTTCGGTATATACTCGTTACTTCATGATCCGGTATTTTGGACCTGTACCGAAACGATTTTTACGGTATTGGACCGGTACAGTGTACCGGTCCGCAGCCCTAATCCACACACGGTGCTTGACGAGGTATGTTCCTGTCACAAATGTATCAACATATGCCAGGGCTCTCTAGTCCTGCTACTGTGTGGTTCCACTAACCAACGCTAGATGGCACTGGTGTACGGCCCAAAAACGTGGATAGGTGGTGCACTGGTGGTGCAGTATGGATGCGACCCCGAATAAACGTGGGCCTGGGAAAAGTAGAGGTTGTTTTGAAAAGAACTCTATTTTTCAATGGCTAAGGGCATTGTTCACGAATAATCGACTTTTTTAAAATATTAAGACGAAGACGACTTTAAGACGAGTCGCCATTTCCGATACAGACAAGGTTTCATGAGTACGCACTACTTCCTTTCTGACTGCCTATCTTTTCAACTGGCCTTTCCGATCACTGCTAACCCTGATAACTGCTAGTAACATCACTCCAGTGCTGAGTACAGGCTACTCTAGCAGAGACACAACTCTGGGCATTGGCTAAGGCTGTCCCAAAAATGCACAATGTGTGTGATAGGGGATAACATTCAACATCATTTCTAGCATAGCTTATCAATAAACAATACAAGCTGCTTAGCCTCTATCAGGCTTCATAAAGTGACTGGAAAGAGTAGAAATTGTACCAATTAGACAGATAACAGACCTACCAACCAATTATTATTCCCTTTCTTTTGCAAATTCTGTGATCTGTAACCCCTAGATCAAAATATTTATAGTACGTTTGTACCATCACTATAGTAAAGGGGAATAAAATTCAATCTGAGCATTGCCCCGAGTATACATGTATAGTTGCATGTTTGTTGTAGAGACTTCATTCTGACAACCCAAAAAACGAAGTGAGGCAAATAACATGTATGCTTGAGATAGGATTTTAATTGCCACCAACGTGTTTACAAGCAATACACTAAGTGGAGATCAACAACTTAATGTAGATTTTGCAGGCAATATGTTGATGAATACGACTTGACTAAAAGTTTAAGGCACACGTCCTTGGGGGATCCATTCTCGAGCATGTTTGAAGGCGGGGAATGGGCCCAGGACGTGGCATTGCCTCTCGTGTTCGCTGTAGTGTCTGCTGCAGTCAACAGGATGGTGGCCGGCTTTTATCTCTCCTCCCGTCAACGCTAGTGCTGCTTCCGTCTGAACGAGCAGCCTACAAGACAAGCAAGAGAAAAATAATGTCAGGACTTTTGCTGCAAAATGTGTTCCTACCTTCATACACAAAGGTTTTGTTTGGGATTTTTAGTTAAGTCCATATGCTTTTCGTATCAGGGACACTGACAAGTTATGTCAAAGGTCCCAGAAAAGGTTATCACACATCCTGTCTCTAATTTCACAACAATTCAAATTAAAATCACAACAACGAATAAAATAAATGCACAACAACTCAGATACTTCATGCAAGTATGAGATTTTCTTTAATTCCTTGTATTGTATTTACTATTGGAGGGTGTTGTGTAAAGTGACAGAATGTAGCTTTAAATCCGCCTCACCTTCTGTAAGCCTAGCCCTGCCCCCTGTGGGCTGACACAGCACTGTTGAACATCCCACACACAGAACTACCGTCTGAGCATGGCTGAAAACTGTGGTGATCTTATAGCAACCTGAAATACAAGTACAACACATTTATACCACTGAAACTGGTTTAAACCATCAGTTCCAATAAATAAATAGACTTGTCAATACAGTTTTGTTTTTTGTGTATCTGTGTCTACTTGTGTTTATAGTTATTTCCACATGGTAGGCTATATCAGGGATATTGACAATACATTAGCTCAAACTCAAAAGTCCTGACTATTTCTCATGTATGTATGCCTGAGCCAGTAGAAAAGTACATAGGCAGAACCAGTTGAAAAACAATAATGATTTAAGCAAATTCACAAAAACTCTGAATATTTGAACTATTTCACTATATCTTTGACTTTTATGAAACCTAACCTTCCCTATTTGTAGCTAACATAATGCACATGATTTAGTAGTAATGGTTTAACCCCATTGGGGCATGGATATGCAATAAACTTCATTGAGGTAGTGTTCCTTGCATGGTCAGTCCCCCCAGTCAGTGTCAGATTGACTCTGGGAAGCAGCACGGATATGCGAGGTTCCGTCCACGCCAGCGCCCGGAGGTGCCGGGGACGGACCTGATCTACGACGACGTGGAAGGGGAACGTGCCTCACGGCGCCCGCGAACGAGCGCTGAGCTCCCGTACGCCACTACAGCAGAGCCAGGAGGTTCTGGGTGCCAACGTCGCTTTGGTTTAGTCTATATCCTGCTAACTATATACATATGAACTGGAAGAATGTAGAGAGACTGCCCATTGACTTGTTGGATCGTTCTGAGTGACTGCCCAGTGTCAAAGACAGTTAGACATGGGAGCCCTTAAGTATCTTAAGTATCTCAAGCTATCTGAACACAATGATCTACTTCTAACTGCACCCACAACTGAGATTGGTTGAAGATTATACCTTAGCCAATGAATAATAACAGTGTTGTCCCACCTTGTTACAGTATCGGTTAGGGAAGTTTATGTACATGTACATCCATCAACATTGCTTGTTACTTATGATCATTTTTAGAGTAGAGTAAATAATAAAAAATAAAAGAGTATAGTAGAATCTTCAGTCGGGTAGGACTGACGTCCAGTCTTGACCACTCCCCATCATCCAACCGTCATGGTGGGTTTCAGTGAGTTTTCTAGTATCCAGTAGTTTTTTATTGGGTGGCCTTCCATGTGCCTGTCTAGTCTTGCCTTATTTAAGGCTTTCACTGATGGTGTATTTAAACACCAGTACTCACCGGGACATTTGACGTCCATGAAGTAACTGTTGGGGCTCTGAACCAGCCTCTTCTTCTTGTGTTTCCTCTTCTCCTCCTCTGGGGAGGGATGCAGCAAGTCCTTGGCCAACTGGAAAAACATAGGAAAATGAGTTAGGATTCAGTATATACAAGTCCTAATATCCTTCACACAACATTGTGTAGGGCAGCACCCATCTTACAGTCATTGGGTCCCTGAATACAAAGAGAGAACTAAAACATAATCTGATCATATACAACTTCAATGATATCTAGTTAGTTCTATTCTCAACTATATGATGGATATATCTAATTCTAAAAGAAAAAATGTATGCAGTTACAGGCATGGCTGTGATCGATCTGGCTGTACCAACAAGAAAATGTGTCTGTAGTCCAAATTTAACAACTGTGATTGCAAAATTTCCCTTTTCAGTTTTAAACCATTGGTATTGCATACTGTGATGCAACTTCAAGAAAAAAAATAGGTAAAATTATGTCACTAGATGACTCAGTAGTCAGTATCGACCAAAATAGCAATTGTACATGGCAGAATTCTAAAAATGATTTATATGAGTTTACAGAATTACTAACTTTTTTTTCTGAACTTTGGTCATATTTCTATGATTTTCCTCTCATGCTTGTGTTACGCGCCGAAATGATGCATTTGAATGGTATATATAAAATGACATAGTTCAGTCACGGTGCACCAAAACAGGCCATGAAATGTATCCCCGTATTCCCAACAAGTCAGACCACCGCCAGGCGTTCACGAATTGACTGTGCCTTAAACAAGAAACAACGTTCAGAACGTCAAAGTTAGGCCTTTCTCAGATTTTCCGAGGTTTCCGCCATGTTTTTTGGCCAATTATACCAACCGCATGGGGGTTTCGTGGCGCCCGGTTTCCCATTTGTTTCCGGGTCACACCTCTAACCTTACGTATCGCGTACGTGTACCGGGGTGAAACCAAATACATGATCCTGTCAAATACATGACTCTGATACTACTTGGGAGTTTCCTATATACCTGAGTCATGGGGTGGTACGATTAAAAAATACAGTGACAAACTAAATATCTTATATCAATCACGCATATCAAAAGACATGGACCAAGGACGTTGTGTGTAACGTCCTTGCATGAACATAACAATCAAACAACCAACAATATCCAGGATGAAATCCCCGATCTGGAGTTCGTACTTTTAAATTGTGAAATAACACTTGGCGTGCCCAGAAGCTCCGTTAACGCCACCGTCAGGGGTGAACTTGGGGTATTTCCATTATACCTCGATTCACAAACACATTAAGTTAATAAAATATTGGCTTCGCCTACCGAAGTAGTTTACCGAACGACAGGATCGTTATGAAAGCTTATATAACCTGTTTCGTTGAACTACAACAAGACTGGGCTGTCCATGTTCAGGACATGATTTGTAGGCACGGATTTCAAAATATATGGTTAAATCCTTCCGTTAATACCAACCAGTTTGGACATATCTTAAAAGATCGTCTACAAAACACGTTTCTCTCTTGCTGGAGACAAGAAATTAAAAGTCTTACCAAACTCGATACCTACTGCAAAATTAAAACCCAATTCTGTTTGAACTATCTTTTATCAATTTAAAACAAATCATTCAGAAACAGCATAACAAAACTTAGGATTAGTGTCCACTCTTTACAATGGAAAAGGTCGCCACTGTAACACACCAGCCCGAATTAGAGACTGTGTCCCTCGTGTCATAAAGGCGTTGAAAACGAATTGCATTTCATAATGACCTGTCCTGCATATACTTTAGATAGACAAAAATTAATGAAATTGATCACAAGTAAAGCTGGTAAACCTCTCCCAAAGACAAACATAGACATTTTCAATCTACTTATGTCATGCCCCGACTCTATATCTACGTACTTTAAGGCCAATATATATGTACTGATATGTAGTGCATAATAGAGAGAAAGTATTATAACAGATACCAACGCCTAACGCACATCATGTCATACGCCGTTTACGTTCATATTCCTGTAGTTAAGTAGTCTCTTAGTATACATAGACTTGTTTGTATTGTATTGTTCACGCTGCCAACATTGTACCATGTACAATTGTTAGTGTAATAGAGTTCATTCATGTAACCTCCTTGGCCACTAAAACTAAACTAACCCTAACCCCCAACCGTAAGTCTAACACTAACGGGAGGAGTTCGACCTATATAGTCTATAAGTTCGACCTATATAGTGTATATGTGCGTAACCTGCATAACCATGCAGGTTACGCACATACCTTTGGAAATAGCCTGCGCAACATGAGCTATAATGTATATAATATTGACAGATAAGGATCACTACGACATTCAAACGACACAGATAAAACTTCTGTCGACTTAAGGCTGTGTCATTCCGATAACACAGGTGAAACCTCTGCCGAAAAAAGATCGTGTTATTTCCATGGCACAGGGGAAACTTCTGACGAAAAATGATGTGTCATTCAAATGACACAGGTGAAACTTATGTCGACATCTGCCGAAAAAAGGTGAAACATCTGTCGACTGAAGGCTATGTGATTCCAATGACACAGGTGAAACATCTGTTGACTGAGGGCTGTATCATTCCAATGATACGGGTGAAACGTCTGCCGAAAAAAAGGTGAAACATCTGTCGACTGAAGGCTATGTGATTCCAATAACACAGGTGAAACATCTGTTGACTGAGGGCTGTATCATTCCAATGATACGGGAGAAACGTCTGCCGAAAAAAAAGGTGAAACATCTGTCGACTGAAGGCTATGTGATTCCAATAACACAGGTGAAACATCTGTTGACTGAGGGCTGTATCATTCCAATGATACGGGTGAAACGTCCGCCGAAAAAAAAGGTGAAACATCTGTCGACTGAAGGCTATGTGATTCCAATGACACAGGTGAAACATCTGTCGACTTAAGGCCGTGTCATTCCAATGATACGGATGAATCTTCTACCGATAAAAAGGCTGTGTCATTCCAATGACACAGGTGAAAGTTGACTTAAGGCTTTGTGATTCCAATGACACTGTGAAACATCTGACAACTGAAGGCTGTGTCTTTCCAATGACACAGATGAAACTTCTGCCGAAATAAGGCTATGTCATTCCGATGACACGGGCCGGGAAATATCAGCCGTCTTAAAGCTATCTCATTTCAATGACACAGGTAAATAATTCTACTGTTCAGGGCTATATCATTCCAATGACTCAGGTGACATATGTGCCATATTAAGGCTATGTCATTTCAATGACACAGGTGGATATTCTGCTGTTGAGGGCTATATCATTCCAATGAGTCAGGTGACATATCTGCCATGTCCAGGCTACTAGTATGTCATTTCTACGACACAGGTGGAAATTCTCTTGTTCAGGGCTATATATCATTCCAGTGACACGTGAAAAATCTGCCGTCTTTACTCGTCATTTATTTGTATAACATATAGCTAAGACGATAAACCTACATGTTTGGTTATTAATTTCTAAACGTACGTGTGTAAAGGATAGTTCGTTTTCGCTCAGGACAATTGCAACTTTGGACTACATATTTTTAGATGGAACAATGCCAGAAAGTCTACATACATGTAAACATTTGCTTGACAAGACTGTACAAGTAAAGACGGCAGATTTTTAACGTGTCACTGGAATGATACATGACCCTGAACAAGTAGTCAGCACGTCCCGGTAAAGCCGCGAGTTTGCGTTACACTGTTACAGACTAACACCGAGCGACAACTTTTTTTCAGACAAGTTTGCGTTAGCGTTACACTGTTACAGACTAACACCGAGCGACAACTTTTTTTCAGACAAGTTTGCGTTAGCGTTACACTGTTACAGACTAACACCGAGCGACAACTTTTTTTTCAGACAAGTTTGCGTTAGCGTTACACTGTTACAGACTAACACCGAGCGACAACTTTTTTTCCAGACAAAAATAGGCAACATTCCAGTAACGCTGTACTTATTCCTGTGTATTACCTTTATTAGTGATAACTAGCGGTCGATGTGTGTTACAATGAATGTAATTTGTGTGCACATCTGAGATGACCCGGAAGTGGATGTGACAATCGGTCTTCTCCAAACCCCCATGCAGAGCGTGAAACAACACGGAAACCTCGCCAAATTGATGCATTTGACGGTCAACTTTGACGCCCCAAATCTCATCTTCAGACCCTTTTTGATATGATCAACTTTCCACTGTGTGATGGTCTGACTTGTTGGGAATACGGGGATACATTTCATGGCCTGTTTTGGTGCACCGTGACTGAACTATGTCATTTTATATATACCATTCAAATGCATCATTTCGGCGCGTAACACTTGTAAACAAGCCGCCATTTTGGATACAGCGAAACCTCAGACACCTAGCTGGTCTACTCAAAAAAATCATGCCATGACAGCTAAAATTAGAAGTCTTCAGCTAATTTTTATACAATATATAAATAAGTGATCACTAGATAGAAGTCAGATGTACAAAATCGGGCGGTATTTGCAAGAGAATGTCACAGTTTTTACGAAACTGGAAAAAAATGGCTGCCATGCAAGGCAAGAAACATGTGCAAACTTGCTGCCAGCGTTGCACTTTACAATTCGCCATAATTTCGCCGTTTTCTGAGCAATTTTCCTCAGATTTTCGATCCTGGTACTCTTATCTACAAGCCTAAATGTGTAAAAATACCAGAAACTGTCTTATTAAGTAGTTTTATGACAAAAATTGGGAGCTAAACTCACAGGCATGGTGGCTGACTCTCTCACGTCGGCCGAAAAGAACGAGTCACGTGACTACATTGCTGAGCTGGGGTTTCCCGAAATGGTTTTCAAGGGACTCTGGAAAGACTAAAATCCAGGAAATTCTTTTATTTTTGCCAAAATCTCTCTTCTTTGACGATTTTTAAAGTTTCAAGGGACAAGTGGAATGATTTTACTCAATGAAAATTAAAGGTGATGTCCTGCTTGGGTGAAGGTTACTGACAATGTGTATAAGATAAGATATTTTCCCGGAAGTAGCAAGCACGGTTCCTTGGTGTAGTGGTTATCACGTCTGCTTTACACGCAGAAGGTCACGAGTTCGAACCTCGTAGGGACCAGCAATTATTTTTACACCCCTTCTTCTCAATGTTTTTCCACTCCGTCCTTTGTCCGTTACACGATGACTGCACATAATGTCATGAAACTTGAAAGTCACAAGCTGCTGTAACAACCTTTGAATTTTCCAATAACAGCCTAGTTTTTAATAGTCTTATAGTAGACACTGGTTATTAGAATTCCAAAGAGTCGCATTTACAGAGAAGACAAGCTTTACAGTTGAATATAATGTTGTGTTTTAAACTGTTGTGTAACTTGTGTATATAAAAGGCCATAAAAGCTAAAACCGCGAGGCTTATGGATCAAAAACGCTCCTAGCGATAATTTTCTAAACTGCAGGATAGAGACCTGCCGGTATTACGTCACCACGCATTTTATGCAAATGAGGTTACTCGCCGGCGACACACAGACAAAAAATGGCGAAGACGTACGACTTTCTCTTCAAGTTGCTTTTGATAGGAGATTCCGGCGTAGGCAAGACATGTGTGCTGTTTAGATTCTCAGAAGATGCCTTCAATTCCACATTTATCTCTACAATTGGTGAGTGGGGAAATTTGGGCGTTGTTTACTCTGTGATGACGTTTTTGTGCGTAGTTTGTAACGTCTATCAACTCAAGTCGACTGACAAAAATCGAAGTGATGTCAGTTGGTGATAGGGTGTGCTCACTTGCAAGTGGTGCGATTTAAAACTTTGTACTACTCCTTATAACACTTATCGAGAGAACTGTACCTTAAAAAATCGCTAAAAGAGATTTCTGAGGAACAACTTTGCTGGAACATTTTGGTCAAAGAAACGCGGTAAAACTACCCAAGTAAGGATCACGAGTTCTTCCGGTTTCTCAGATTGCCCCCCTCCCCCATTTTCCAACACAAACCCAAATTTTCTGCTAAAAATGACTGATTTTAGCTACCCCGTTTGTACAAATCTTTACCCAGATGTCTTTTGGTTACTTGAAAAATTGAAATTCGTTGATAGGAGGATTATCAACGTTTGAATAAACAATTATAAAACATTTTGAGCAAATTCCAGAGGTAGAATTATGACTGTAGTACTAGTAGAGGGGCTTAAAAGGTTAACAATCAGCGGGTTATTTGCATACAATGTAGGTGTGTGTAAATAAAAACACTTGTTGTCTTTATTGATTAACTGCTAGACTAAAACCCTAGAGGGAAAATTGTTAATGTTAAGCACTACATGCAAGTTGAGCATGTTAAATTAGAATTGTTTTACAGTACAAAACTCAAATTGAGAGCAAAAAAAGATGAAAATGAAACCATACTACAAGCTGCGAGCAAGATATACTGCCATACGTTATCGAGTTGTTTGAATTTGTAATATTGATCAAAATCTTATGTATTGATTTTTCATATGTACACTCAGTACATGATATGCATAATGTATTACTATTAGCGTATGTTGTGTAACCATAGCATTCTTGCATCGTTAATATATTACAATGTCCTAACATACGTTTTTGCTTGGAAATCAGGTGCATGTTAGAACTTACTGTTGCATTGATATACAATTTTGTATGTTCTAAGCCAGTTTGTCCTGTTGTAACTTATGTACATGAAGTCCAAAGGTCAGGGCCCTTGTCATGTAGCCTGGTTACCAGACTGTTCTTGGGCCAGTACACAGGCCAGCCCCAAATTACTAGTAGTCTAACTGAGGTATAATTTCCTTGGAGACATGTTAGCCCTGGTACCGAGGAGCTAGCCTGTATACCCTAGCCCTGGCAACAGTCTGGCACCCAGGCTATACTAATGCACATTTGCCATTTCTATCATGCCCCACCCATTCTTCAATTAGTTCTTTCTGTGCCGTGACCTTTTCAAGTAAAAAAAGTTTGCACCGGGGTGTCCTTTCCAAAAGGTTTGGTCAAAGATATGTTGGAACTTGGAAGTAATTGTTTTGTTGCCATCTTGGGTAATTCTTGCCCTCAGCAATGTTACATGTAGATAATTACTAGATATACATTACTGAAAATACCCTAACTCACTGGATGCATGTACATGTATGAACTTTAGTGCTCCTACAATTGGAGCTGTGCGCCTAATTTTTGCTTGTGGGTGCGCCTATCTATTTGCGTAGGTTACGTATGTAAAGCTGGTACAATGTACTTACTATTGTACACTAGTATATAGCATATTTTTGACTTTCAGAAAAATAATATGATTGTTGTAGTTTGGTAGGTTGTTGGGGGCGTATGATATTTACTCATCGAGTCATCGGGATGCCCCAAAGTGTACAATGAACACAGAGGTGACGTGCTCCTGGGTGTTTACCAGACAAAAGAGGTCCGCGGACGTTACAAAACTAGAACAGGTCTCGAGGCCATAGATAGAAAACTGTTGATATCAACACATGAAGGTTTTAGGAATTCTTGGTAATGTTGTGTTCGGATGGTACAAAGGCAAGTGTTTTGATTTTTTTATGTTTTTAATGTCAATTTTTGGGAGGAACATAAACAATCGTTGGGATGCAACCTACAGATGACATGTCAACATGACAACATCGGTCAAGTTGACACAACTTGGACTTGCCCTGAATCAGTCAAACACATCTGTAATTGTCTAAGCTGTGTAACTAGTCAATCACCAGGCTAAGCCAGTCTTCCTGTTAGGATTCCTTATTTGTTATCATGCCTTGGCAGTCATGCACAACAAATTCCCCTGGCCAGAAAAACATTTGATAAACATTCATTACCAGCATGGGTCCATCAGCCAGACCAGTAAACATGCCTAGAATACAGGCATCCTGAAAGCTATGCTTTGATCACGTTGTAGACACTACTAGTATTTCATGAACGTACAATTTGTGTTTCATTTCACAAGTAAACAAAATTACCAAGACTGCGATGCTAGCATTTTTGCATGAAGCATTTTTGGCACAGGAAGTGAAGAAGTCAAATGGGTAGAAATGCTTGGATGGTTAGGACTCAGTTGTTTCTTTGACAACACTTCCTCGTTAAACTAATGCAGAAGTTTGGTTTGTTTATGCAAGGACATTATATCATTGATAACGTCCTTTGTTTATGGCCCTGTCAACAGGTTCTGCATATTGTTATTATTGATAATGAATTAAAGGTAGAATCATACGGTACATGTACAATGAATGATGCAAGGGAAAAAGAGTTGCTAGAGGGGGGGGGGGAATGTCTTCATCTTTTTTCCGTCAGTCCTTTTTGTTAGACAATATGTAGTGGGTATGTGATTGTTATTTTAAAATCTTTTCTTCTCATGCTATTAGTAATACATAAGTAGTTGTATGGGAAAGATTGGCATTGTAGATGAGATTGTTCATCTGCGGACCTGTTCAACTTGCACTAGACTCTTTTGAAATTGGTATTCTTTTGAAATGAGGGGTATCTAATATATTCTGTCTTCTAGAAAAAAATAATTATTCTCTGATGTTCCTTCTCCTCTGCAGGTATCGACTTCAAGATTAGAACTATAGACCTAGACGGGAAGAAGATCAAGCTACAAATATGGTATGACATTATTTGTGACAACAGTCAGCATATGGGTCATCACTCATCATGTATAGGGGATGGAAGTGTTTTTAGGAGTGATTTTGTCTGTGGGTTTGTTTGTATGTTTGTCCAGAGTAGATTGACAGTACTTGGGTGGAGAAGGATTGACAGGCAGAAGGTCAGATACTCGTAATGGGGTGAACTTGAATGTCCCACATTCTTGCCAGGAACCATCAGGTATTAGAGACCAACATGGGGGAATTCAGGAAGCCGAGGATTGCATGAACGACCCTCGATAGTTTATGTTCCATTTAAGGTTCTTGTGGAAATCCAAAATACTTGTCAGAAGTCTGACTTTTCTGTTTTCTTGATGTTTTTGCAGGGACACCGCCGGCCAGGAGAGGTTCCGCACCATCACCACTGCCTACTACAGGGGAGCCATGGTGAGTATAGCAGGACATTCGCAACATGCACATTGTACGTTCTGTTGACAATTGCTCCTATTAGGGTTAACATTGACAGGTTCTTTACAATGCCACCCCCTCTGTGTTGACAGGGAATCATGCTTGTGTACGACATCACCAACGAGAAGTCCTTCGAGAACATCAAGAACTGGATCCGCAATATCGAGGAGGTACATAAATGCACTTTAATACCAACATGTAACACTGTCAGGGCTTGAAATACTTGTACCAGCTCCAAATGCACGTTAGTACAGGTAAAATTGGGGCTGTGCAAGTCTACCTGAACATCTAGCCCAGGCTAGTAGCTGTGTTTAGAACAATACAATGTATAAGCGCTTAATATAAGAGCTGATATTTATTATAGTGTATGTGCATGTATGCAGCAGTGCTGAATGTAGTTTTCTGTTTGAAAAGACGTTTCTAGTACAAGTGTTTTAAACTCTCTTTTATACCTAGCTATATCAAAAATACCTCTGGTTTTTACCATGTCTGATTGTCTGTGTACCATGTAAGTATGACCAGTGAAAGTTTTGGATGAAAGCCAAGAACTCCATGTTTAGAAGGAAGTCAGCCATTGTTTGATAGATGACAGCCATTTCCTTTCCGTGAGTGTAGAAGTTAGATAGAGCCACCAGCAGCTTTTGTTTCCCAGCTTGGGTTTTAAATTTTTCATAAAAGAACATTTTATTAATAAATTATGTTCCCTGTAGATTTATTCAAGGAAATTTTACATTACAGACAATACATAGTTATCCCTCTAAAACAATGAGGTACATGTAGGCCATGAAAATTGTCTTGACTGTAATGTTATATTTTTGACCAGCAATCTTTTGCTTATAAAGTGAAAAAGCCCATGTTTCAAGTAAGAAAGAGTTGACACTTTAGTTTAGTGACTTAACCTAGATTTTTTGTAGTTTAATTTTTATGAAGAGTTCGTTAGAAAAAGACATAACAAAACTGTATATTTTGTATGAATTTATGATGTTAAAAAAATGATAGCTACTATTTGAAATTCAATACTGTAGTTACAATTGCGATTGTTCCATTCGCAGTTTTTTAGATAGGAGAAACTATCTTGTTAATCTTGTAGCAATGGCTGATGGGTAGTGTTTGTTGCCTTCCCAGCATGCCTCAGCTGACGTAGAGAAGATGATCCTGGGGAACAAGTGCGACATGGAGGACAGACGGCAGGTGTCCCGCGACAGAGGGGAGAAAGTAAGACACGATTTGTACACATGTGCAAAATTCAACTCGTGGTGGGGTCGCGTGGCAGAGTGCTTGACTCGGTTTTTCCGCCACACACTGCAAAGTTCCTGCAATAGGCAGAAAAAACAGTGCTGTATGGCCCTGGAGCATACGTAACCTGTGTTAAATTCTTCATAATGGAACATGTTATTTTACTTCTGTCCAAACAGCTGGCCATCGAGTATGGAGTGAAGTTTATGGAGACCAGTGCAAAGAGCAGCATCAACGTAGAAGAGGTGAGTTCCCAACTGTAATGTTTTGTCAGTACAAAAAACATCCACCCCTGTGTGTAGAATGTATTGGTCTTCTTGTACCTTTATTCAATGCCATCTTGGACTTGTCCACTCTATGAATAGGGAAGATCACTTGGTCTACTTTGTTAACAAGATATACTATTTTTCAGGCCTTCTTCACTCTGGGCAGAGATATCAAGGCTAAGATGGACAAGAAACTGGTAAGGCCAGCTAGAGCTCTGTTAGGTTTATCCTTGCATAAACTCTATTAGGATGATCCTTACATAAACCATGGAGCTATCTCAAATTATAGCTCCATGTATAACCCTTACCAACAGTACACTATCGCCCTCTAGTTGTTGATTGGAATAATGCAACATTTGATGTAATTAATTTGTCATAGTCGATACAATGCAGGGAGAAGTTGGGCCCCCTAGCGTCTTGCCTTCAAATTGTAGATAAGGATTTGAAAACCTGGCATAGATTTTTAGTTTTCCAGTGTTTTTCTGAAGTTTCTCCCATCCAAAAGTATATATAGACATTTTAATCAGTACATGTAACTTCTTTTTTTTCTGAAATGTTTTGATTTGGTATTTGTTTTGTTGTTGTTGTTTCATTTTGGTTAGCATACCAGTCAACCCCGTCCCACTGCCACTCTGTGGGTGGACATGGGGTTTGCTGGTAATCTACCATGATTTCTACCATACATAACCCCAGGGTCTCTTTCCTCCCGGTACCCCCCTTAAGACCCTCCTATCTGCTGTAAGTGTGTGGTACACATTTTCCCCTGCAGTAGTGATTTAGATGTATCAAAATAGTTAAGTAAATATTGATAATGATAAGAGCAAGTGAGAAAAGAACTTGTAGTGGCAGTCGTTACTAACACATTTGTAGCTTTTTTAGATAGAGTGAAATACATTGTAACAGTAGCAAACAAAATAGCTAATTATTTTTTAATCAAATCTAATGAAATTATGGATCATTTGCTATTCATGTGTAAAAAAAAATTACAATTCAGTCAAACCTGTACTGGTGACAACTTCTACATAATGAATTTGTGTTTACTTTTTGCTGGTCCTTTAGATCATTTTTCCCAAAAGAAGTAGTCAATATAGACCGTAAAGTACATATTTACGAGATGCAATAAGCTCATGATGTGTCCATCCCCCACTATAGGACTTGAACAGTCCCCAGAAGGGAGGGAATGTCCAGGTGACAGCAGCAAAGCCACAGAAGTCCTCAAGTCCCTTCTCCGGATGGAAGTGTCAGCTCTTGTGATTGGCCAGCAGTAGACAAACAAGCCACCCGATTGGTCAATTCGAAGGACTGCTGCCTATTAGAAGTTGTGTTGGACTGCTTTGCTACAAACAGTAGGGGTAAATCATTTGATGTTAGGGTGAAAGGAAAGATGCAGAAACATTTTACAAGTAGAAGATAGTTTTGAAATATTCAAAGACCAAGACTAGGTGCTTTTACAAAAACAATTGCTATTTTGAGAGAAGCGAAATCCTAATTAGTAGTTTATTAGTTTCAATTCAAAATTAATTACATGACCGTACATAGAAATAAACGTTTGGATGATATTCTGGAGACATTTGGATGGTTTTAAAGGTGTAAAAACTGGAAGATTTGTACAATGAAGAATTGGTAGTATTGGTGGGAAAATGATCCAAACTAGTTTAAAATTAACAAACACTTGCATAAATGAATTTTTCAGGATTTTAGGGCTGTACCATTTAATCATAGGGAGAGTCACGTTTCATTTGCATTTCTTTACACAACAAATGTTTAAGTTGCCATCAAGTTTAAGTGGCCTAAATTTTCTCATTCCCGAAGAGCACTCCCTAAATGTAAATGGAACAGCCCTCTAAAATCCACTGCTGTATTTTTGTCTGTTAAAGTATAGCAAAGCCAACAAACATGAAAACCAATTTTGACAAAATGCTTTGTTTCTCTTTTACAAGTTACTTTTCTTGAATCACATCACCATAGAAAATATGACATTTTCCACAATTATTATATCCATTGAAAAGTTTGCTTTTCTTACCAATCTGAGTTTGGGGACATGCAACATTCATTAAAGCTGTTATGGCCAAGTGTGGAAGACCAGTTTTATCAAATTTGTGTATTGCTTAATGTTTCGAAAGACTTCAACTATGCGTAATGCCACTAAAACACCATATCATCACTTTGAACCTAAATAATTGCACATGCTCATCTGTAAATATATGCCAGTCATGTAGACTACTGACAGTACTGTTCTGTTGTTCTACTTGGTATTATCCTTCTTTTCCTCGGAAATACAACATTTCAATGCTCCAGTACTGTCCCTGTCTCTCGCTTCCACCAGGCCTTTCTTAGGGGGTATGGCTCATAGTAGAATTCGGGGAAAATACAGGCTAAACTATTCCGGCATTTTTATTCTCCCTATTGCACTAAATTTGACTGGAAATAAATCTGGTGGAGACAACCATCGTAATGTTTTGCAATGCCTGATAGTTGACTGTGCCATTTCGGTAATTGTTGGCCCCAAGAATGTTTAACTTGATCAGTTGCACATCCTAACATTAACTGGTTTTATTTTCGTTTATAGAAACCAATTCAATTTTTCATGTATTCCAACATCAAACATATAGTCCACAAGTAGTGCCATGCTTAAATTACATGCAGGTGTTACCATACACTACTGCACATGTCAATGTAAAACTTAGCTTTGGTGTTTGTGTGTGGAAGGGGGGTTTAAAAGGACATCATCACCCATATGACTGACAGCCGTTATTTTAGGGATAGGGTCTAAAAAAGTCGTGGCATTATGTGAAAGCTCGAATATTTAAAATCTGTGTCAGCCATGCCCCCTCCCCTTAGGGGTTGATATCGACTGATGCATGAACTTTAATCTGAACCCACCAAAAAAATACATTGCCTCAGGAAAGAAATGAAAGCAACTTTTTGATTATCACAAAAAGTGCAAAACATCAAATTATATCACTTTGATATGAAATGAGTAAAAAGAGGTTTGGAAAAATTGGAAAACTTTTTAGTGGCACAACAAATAGAGATGTTTACAGGGGCAATTGTCAATATTGAAATGATTCCAAACGTTCTGAATGAAAATGAAACTTAAGAGTCACAAAATATAGCAGTATGGTTTGTTTGTTTTCAAATTACGTTTAATATTTGGGTGTGAGAGATACTGAAAAATAAAAAGACAGAAATACAATTGTATACATGTTTAAAAGACAATGATCAGTTCCTGAACTTTTTGTAATTTTCAAACATGTTTTAAAAACATTAATGTTCATACAATTACAAGCATAGAAGAGCCAAATTATACAATTTGTATCTTCAAATGATGCCTTAGGGTCTGTCTCTAGCGCAAACTGTCTTCTTCGGGAATTTCTAGGCTAAATATCCATGCCTGAATTGCAAGGAATACCATAATTTCTTCTTGACAACATATTCTTTTTTTTCTACTCAATATCTACTATTAGGTTATACAGTGTTTGGTTCAATGAAATTAAATTTGTTCAACCCTAGCCACCCCTTCTGATGGACTGACATGGTATATCCCCATGGATAAGAATGATATCGGGATATACTATTTTGAATGGAAGGGGTGTTTTGTGTGTAGCATTATGAGGTACTAGTATCTTCTCTGAGAAATTATTGAGAATTTATTATTATCAGTGTGATGGGGAGAGCGTTGGAATAGAATTATAGATCAAAATCAAATGACTTAAACTTGTAGATGTCTAATTTTGTGATGAAAGATTTTCCATGTTAGTAGATGTTAGTGTATTTGGACACCTAATGCTATCTGTTAATGTTATCTGTACAGGCATACATAATTAACATGACATGTACAGATACAGTGAAAGATTGTATTAATGCTATGGACACCAGAATTTACTACACGCTTACCATTTTACTGTAGACGTGAGAAATTTTGCTACTTTTGCAACATGAAAGAATGAGCTGTGGTGCAACCAGGGTGTCCCTCAGTGTCTGTCATATTTGTTACAGGAATCCAAGATTACAAATTATGGCCATTTCGACAGACAGAAATCAGCATGTCTAGTTAGAGAAAGATAGGTCAAGTCATAACATGAGCGAGCATGGATTTGATGAAATGACCCCCCAAAAATGTTGCACTTGGGGTAACCTTGGTTACAGTAACCGTGGTTACAGCCACACCCCTTTTATAAGCCAGTTCACAGTTTAAACTGCACATGCAAAGGTAAAGGCCCCAACTTGTAAACTAATGCTTGAATATACACGTTTTGTTTATGTCTCAGGGGCCTCTAACTTTGACATATACATGTATTTCCCACAACGTATCACATTGGGCATGCAGTTTAAACCATGAACTAACTTATGACAGAACAGCATGAAGTGTTGGTGTAAGAAGAGTTTTTATACAACATACTTACAGTTAATGCTGCTTTTCGCAGGTGCCAATGGCTGGTTGTCTCTTAACCTTCACTTTGCTAAGGTAGCCTTATGCCATAGCCATTTTCTTGGTTACAAATTTTGGCAGCAGGGAGAAGGTTAAAAAATAGAGTTTATCTGTTATCGTAGTTCTTTTGTGATTCTTATTGGCTTCAGACATCCATGAATTCTAGTTATTTGTACATTTCTGATGACCCAGCTACAATATTGTTCATACATTGTCATAATCTCCAAGCAGATGGGATGAGGACCTGGCTCAGTGTTTTATGCATTTTTTGCAGCATTTACTACATCTTCTTAGGAGCATACATTTTTTACTCCTTTTGGGGAGTGGAATAGAGTGGATGTAGTCAGAAACTCACAAACAAATGTAAAACAATGATCCAAACCTTACATCTGCTTGGAGATTTCATAGGGGTGGAATATTGGTAGACTTCAACAAATCGTTTTGTTTTTTCTGTATCTGAATTTAAGCAAGCAGTTGACATGATGACATTTATGCAAATGTATAGAGTTTTTATCTAACCATTCCTAATTACACTCCACCCCCCACCCCCTCATTGGGGTTACACTGACTGGTGCATTCTGTTGGGGGACATTTGCTTTTTTTGGCTATGCCTCGGGTGAAACCTTTTTAATGAATTGCATCCTTTGACACATGCCAATGATAGTAGCCTCTACCAGGCTTCAGAAGCGGCTGAAAAGAGTAGAAATTGGCCAGATAGACTGGCAACATGTTGGCCAACTCCTCTGGCATGTTATCTGTCAATTTGGCCAATTTCTACTCTTTCCAGCCAATTTTGAAGCCTGGTAGAGGCTCCATTGAAACTGCACTGCTGCCTTACTGCATGTAGTTATACAATAGTCATGTAAAATTTGCATAGTCTGTGATTTGGAGAAGCTATTTTTATGGGGAAATCCTTGTAAATGTTGCCAAGAAGGAAATATAATGTAGGTGTAACTAAGTCTTGATATGTAAAGTCACTAGTGTACTCTGAGGGACTGTTGTGAGGACATTTATGATTGGCTTATTCTTAAGCTGTCTGTGATTGGTTCAGTTCTGTCTGCGTTGTAGATTTCATGTAGGTTGGAAATGTCTACTAAAAAATCTTTATTGTCTTTTTATTCAAAATGTCAATAAAGACCTACAATGAATTGAAAAAAAAGGGTAAAAGTTTTTGGAAAAAAAGTTGGAAATGTCAAAATGGATCACGAAAAGAACCAAATCCATGCTACAACTTTCAGTGGAAATAAGAACTTGCCAGTCAAGATATTATGTAAAATTGACTTGAGTAGCATTTATACATTTTTTAGACTTAAATTGTAAATTTTGTCCTTAACAACTGGAAGAAAATGACATAGCAGTTATAATTCTTAAGAGATTTGGTGAATATTGCAATAATTTAAACTAATTTCTTTTGTTGTCATGAAAGAAATGGTTGAATGTAGTGAATGTTGACTTGTAGGGTTCTGATGGCTTTGCTCAAAATCACTCAGCACACTGGTTTGTACTCACCCACGCTGCTTGGAAAACAATAAAAGCATTTATTAAACATTTGTCTTTTGTTTTTCCTTGTGTCGGTATAACTTTGAATAAGAGAAACAAGTTTAACCTTGAGACACAACTAGCAACAACAAGTATGAGATGTCAGACTTCTGAGAATTATTTGGGGTTTTCGTGACCCCATTTTCTGTGTCTGACCTTTTGTCCTGTCATTCTGTCAAACTTCCCACCCATGTGCTATCAACCTACTCTATCTTGGAGGACACAAACTCAGCCACCCAAAACAATACTTCCTTACCAATAGGTAAACATCAAACAGACCCTCAGATGATGACATCATCTTTATTTCCATAGCCATTCTCCCTTTTGCAAGTATTCATCAAAACGCAGGAAATTTCTACTACCATCATGCAAAATTTGATGTTTTACATTTCATTAGTGCTCTTATTTCACCTTTTGCAACCAGACCTAAAGAAATACATTAAATTGACATAATTGTTCATTACTAACATTGCAGCTAGTACAGATCCTGTTTCTAACCATGCCAAGGAAAGAAGTCAGCAATAATGTGAAAGTAGCTCTTTCATCTAGCTCTATATCTAAGAAATTTTCACAATTGTTCTTTTTAGCTACTGGCATATGGCAGATTTTTGGAGTTATTGCAAATTAGGGTAGCTCCACTAAAGATGACACAAGACGATTAGCAAAGTCCCAGCAGCCTTTGCAGCTCCCAGAGTCCTTTGCTGCTCCCAGGATCCTTTGTGTCTAGCCCGGTGGCCAGCCCATCTGGCGTCCCCCCATCACGTGCAGGTGGATGTGGAACACCTCCTGCCCGCCATTCTTCCCGTCGTTCGCGGTCACACGGTAACCGGTCGCGGCCAGCCCCTCCTTTTCCGCAACCTTCTTCGCTACAATCATGAGGTGACCTAACAGCTGAAGAAATAAAACAAAGAGGTCTGACAGATGGAATTTACCCTTCTCCCTGCTGCGCAACTGACAACCCCATCATAAGTACAGATTTGGTGCCAAATGGCTGCCTTAGCAGGCTGAAGTTTAAAACATCAACTACAGTTCAAAACTAAAATTGTTGCATTTTTAAGCAGGAAAAAAGACATTAGGACAAAGGGAAAATTACAAACCTGTTCATCACCATCTTCAGCCTTGGACAGTTGTGGGATCGGCTTCTTGGGGATGACCAGGAAGTGCACGGGAGCCTGAGGGTTAATGTCCCTGAACGCCAGGCACTGTTACAAACAAAAAAGGGTTAAAATAAAGACAGCAGTTCTCTCCATTTTCATTTGTCTACAAGTTTCAAGTACCTGACCAGGATCTTTACCACGTTCGCAAGAAGCAGTACTGTACACCGTGAGATATGTCTAAGTCACATATAATGCCCTTGTCTAAACATATATATTTTGCCATTGAAGAATAAAACGAAAAGCTTTCTCAGTCCTAATATAAAGTAGAAGGATCATGTAACGTTACATGTTGAGGGGAGGGGGGCGGTTTCAGTTTCACATGCTGATTCCGCACGTAGACATTCATGGCAAAATGCCAGCTGTATGAAGGACCAGCAAACTGACACGCCTCACATTCACGTGCTAAAATATCACCGGAGTTTTTACCACCTTTGGGTATAGATTTCTTACCTGATCGTCTTCGTATAGAATATCAGAAGGGATCTCTTTCCTGATGATTTTCCCGAAAATCGTGTCACCTCCCTCCGCCATGTTGGAAGCAGACAGCCGATCTCGTTCCCAGAGCCACCTGAAGGTTGGCCATCCGACGGTCTCACAGCGCCACCTCAGCTGTAGCGATAGTAGTCAGAACTGCAACACATACTTCAGTATGATAGAAGTGTACAGTACTTGCCGCTCGTATGCGGCATTTCTCGGCTTTTTCTTCCCCAAATTAACGGCTTGTGACCGTCCAAACACTCCTAGCAAATCTGTGGTTGATTTGCAGAAATAAAACGCCGGTCAGAATCTTTATTCTTCAGAATATCCCTTCTGAAAGCCGTGAAGGATGAGGATGAAGCAACACTAAAACAAGGTCCCTAATATCTGCTTGGAGATTACTGATGAGGGCTCCAAGCAGATGTTGGGTGACTGTTTTCTGAGTGACAGCCGGGCTTCTCTGACGGTCCTTTACTCGCTGTAAGCAGATGGACAGTTGAGTTAGGGTATTATAAGTTTTTGAAGAAAAACGGATGATGTCCAGCTATATCTTAAACCTACTTATTTCGCAAATTGCAAGATTAAAGTCAATGTTGCTGATGAGTTTATTTTTCTTCCCCAAATAAACGGTTTGTGACCGTCCAAACACTCCTAGCAAATCTGTGGTTGATATTTACAGAAAGAAAACGCCGGTCAGAATCTTTATTCATCAGAATATCCATTCTGAAAGCCTGCCTTTAGAGTCAACAGTCTCCAGTTTAGCCAATATCCGACGGTCTCACAGCGCCACTTAGCAATATCGTAATTTATCAGAACTGCAGCAACACGTACTTCAGTATACATATGTAAAGTAGAAACGTACACTACGGTGTGTGCCGTTCATATGCGGCATTTTTCGGCAGTTTTCTTCACAAAATAAACGGCTTGAGATTGTCAAGACACTCCAAGTAAGTACGTGGGTGATCTGTAGAAAGAAATTGCTGTCAGGAATCTTTATTCATTACAATATCCCTTCTCAAAACCTGGCTTTTACAATCAGATTCAACAATCTTCAGTTTAGCCAACAGGTGACCATCCGACGGTCTCACAGCGCCACCAGTGCACCTAGCGATAAAAGTCAGAACTGCAACACGTACTTCAGTATATATAAGGTAGCAGTATACAGTGCTTGTATGCGTCATTTCTCGGCTTTTTCTTCCGCAAATAAACGACTTGTGACCGTCCAAACACTCCTAGCAAATCTGTGATTGATATCTACAGAAAGAAAACACCGGTCAGAATCTTTATTCATCAGAATATTCCTCCTGAAAGCCTGCCTTTAGATTCAACAGTCTCAGCAGTTTAGCCAACTTCGATACAGTCATCCGACGGTCTCACAGCGCCACCTAGCAACATTATAATTTATCAGAACTGCAGCAACACGTACTTCAGTAGAAAGAAGTGTACACTACGGTGCTTGACGCTCGTTTGCAGCATTTTTCGGCAGTTTTTCCCCAAAATAAACGACTTGTGATTGTCAAGACACTCTCAGTAAGTACGTGGTTGATCTGGAAAAAGAAATTGCTGTCCAGAATCTTTATTTATCAGAATATTCCTTCTAAAACAGAGCGCTGACCGAGAAAGTTTATCTACAAATAAATGTCTAATACGCTACAGAAAATGTTTCAACTGAGTGTAAGCAACTGTTAAAATGGCATGGGAGTTTTATTTCAGTAAACAGTACGTTTTCCACAGTTTCTTCGACGCGTGAAAGTGAAACGACTGGTGTAGTAACGAAAAAGCCCCATATTCAGCCGCTCATAAAAGTCGTTCTAGAAACGTTTGTCTCAAAATGAGCAGATGCAAGACTAAAACGGTTCTTCCCCGATAAATTCGTGATATTTAGGTAGTCGGGGTGAGCCTCAATGTCAAGAACAAGCACAGGAAACACCTTGAGTAAAAACCCCATAAGAGCCCATCGCGTGTCCCCAGTCGCGAAATGGCCAAATCTGGGAATGAGCGAGGCTTCGTTAGCGAGATACGGGCCTTTTCGAAACGGGGACCCGAAAACGGGGGTGTGATAGGGGATGAATTTCCGCTTGTTGAATTTTAGAAAAATACAACTTCTGGCATTTTCATGTGCCCCTGTTTTCATAATATACTCCTCATGATCTCTATTATATTCCTGCAAAATGCCCTCCCCTATAATTTCTCTATTCTTGAGTTATAGGTAAAAATGTGTTTTTGCGATCAGCTGATCGCTTGCAGAAGTGGTCAAATCCTTTGCAGAAGTGGAGTTTTCGCTGTCGGAGACATTACTATATGAATGAAAACCAAGCAGATGTCAAGAAGGAAGATCGAAAACTCGCCGTCGGAGGTATTACCATATGAATGAAAACCAAGCAGATGTCAGTGGCAATACATTCCCTTTTTTCGAAAACCTGATGATACAAGTAACAAGAAGGAAGGTGGGAGGTAGTGTGTCTGAAAACGTGTCCCCCGGGCGACTCTAAGAAGTCGCGGCGTTTGGAACCGCCACACGACGGGCACAGCAACCTCCTCTATTGCCTTTCTTATAGAATGAATTTCTTATAGAAAACCAAGCAGATGTCAGTAGGTAAAGACTGGTTGGTCTGGCCTTCCGAAATAGCGCCACCTACAGAGTTAATCTTATATTGCAGTATTAACTCATCCACACACGCTTAAGTTACTGTCTCCCCCTCCTGACATCTGCTTGGTTTTCATTCATATGGTAATGTCTCCGACAGCGAAAACTCCACTTCTGCAAAGGATTTGACCACTTCTGCAAGCGATCAGCTGATCGCAAAAACACATTTTGACTTATAACTCGAGAAGGAAGAAAATTTATTGAAAGAAAATAAGTAGGAATATAGTAAAGACCATGAGGAGTATACCCTGAAAAGAAGGAGGTCGAAAAATGTCAAAAGTGTTATTTTTCTAAAATTGAAAAAACGGAAATTCATCCCCTATCACATCCCCGTTTTTGAGTGCCCGTTCCGAAAAGGTCCGTATCTCGCTAACGAAGCCTCGCCCATTCCCAGATTTGGCCATTTCGCGAGTGGAAAAATGCGATGGGCTCTTATGGGGGTTTTACTCCAGGTCTTGTCGGCTCTTGTTCTTGAACTTGAGGCTCGCCCGGACTATCTAAACATTACGAATCTATCAAGGAAGAACCGTTTTAGTCTTTCATCTGTTCTTTCTCAGACAAAAATTGCTAGAACGACTTTTACGATCAGCTGAATATGTAGCTTTTTTGGTCAAAATTTCCGCCATTTTTGCTCTAATACATCAATATTCTAAAAGGCTAACATATCTAAGTTTCAAATGAATTAGTAAAACAAGACTTAAAAGAAACAAAACCATGTTTTTGTCCATCAACAGATCCAATTTTCCTTCAAAATCCTGTAATGTTTCCTACACATAATGGTGCAATGTTTTATTTTTTAATTCTAGTAGCACAACTTCCCAATATGTTTAATATAAATCCACACATAAACGAGACACAAAGCTTCATATTTGTTTTAAATAGATTTTAATATAACAGAAAACAAGATTCAACAAACAGGTATATCAGCATTTTGACAATTCACAGAAATGCATGATTTTAGATAAAACTAGAAACATCAAGTTTTTACAAATATACAAGAGTGAAGAGTCAAGTCATTATTAAAACTCTTTGGTCAAACGTTTTCACTCTCACTTGCATCATAGACTTAAACTAAGCCTAGGTGGAATGCAAAAGAACTGTCTTGAATACAAAAAAACAGAAACATGTCACATACATATTCATCATGCATTGAACAAAATGTAACAAAGAACACTGTATTATAGTATAATGTTACGGTAAAACTGAGTGAAAACTAATTGAATAACACATTATAAGTGAATAACACAAAGACAAAGCATACAAAAAAAAACGCAACTTCACATTGGTTTTCTGAAGTAAGAATGCAGATATACACACAGCATTTCATTCTTTAGAAAAGTCAATTATATCATTACTAGACTTTAGAAACCTTGTTCTCCCATTTGTTACCGTGCCGGTTGTACCGCCTCACCCACACGAGCATGTCTGCTGAGATAATACAAACATCCGTCCACTTCAACAAGGTATTCATCGCTCTGTAAGTCATCCCCACGTGACCTAGAAACAGACGACACGCCGGGCCACGCGTTCCCTACATGGTTGTAGCTATAGACTAAGGCCACATTGACTTAACTTTACGGAAGACATCCATGTGTGCACTGTCTTTTGCCTGTTCTCAAAAAAAAATTCTCCATAGTCCACGGTAGCTAGTGACAACAGGAAGCCAGCAGTACTACAGAGCCAGTACTGCCAAAGCTCCACAGAACTCAAGAACTCAGTACAGTGCCGACTCATAAATACCACAACAGGCCAGCATGAGCCAGCTTGTCATAAAAGTTGCTATGTACTACCACAAATTCACAATACCAGCTTTGTATTCCTGTGGTTTAGCAGCATTTTTGGCTGTATTTTTCCTATTCGACCACGCACACTAGTTTGATGGTCTTCAGAGGATGTCAACCATAAAATTAAGTCAGTGTGGCCTAACAGGGATAGTTCAGCGTGCGAGTGTCCTGCTAAGATGTAGATGTCATTTTCACTGGTAACAGTCATGGTCACGACAGGAGGAAGGTCTGCTGGGTAACCACAGCTGATGTACCGCCCGACTCTGGGGTTCATACACAGCATCTCTCTTTTGCTGAGGAGCAAAATAAACATTGTTATAGCCACAAACTGTCTTTTTTCATGGCTACATTTATTTTTCAAAACCAAGCCCTCTGTTGTACACTGGTTTATAAGGGGAGTCAGGTAAAATCCAATGAATTACTAGTGCATGTGAATAGAATTCTCTAAATAGTATCTCACCACAGCCTCTCACACTCTTGTCTCCTCTTTAACATCCAGCTCATCATGGCTGATGATCTCAGTCAGCTGATCCACACTCAGAACTCCTCACTGATGGAAACCTGTGGAGGGGACAGATGGATGGATGAATCAATAAGTGAATGAATAAATCATTTCTTCTGGGTAAAAAAAAACTGTTATATCCATGCAAACTATCTTAATTATCAACAAACAAGAGGTGTCAGGACAGGACCATGTACTGCAGTAGGGGTGGTAAGGTAGGATCACATTTCAGCACTAAGGACAGAACCATGTACTGTAGCAGGGGTGGTAGGGTAGGATCACATTTCAGCACTAAGGACAGAACCATGTACTGTAGCAGGGGTGGTAGGGTAGGATCACATTTCAGCACTAAGGACAGGACCATGTACTGTAGCAGGGGTGGTAGGGTAGGATCACATTTCAGCACTAAGGACTGAACCATGTACTGTAGCAGGGGTGGTAGGGTAGGATCACATTTCAGCACTAAGCACTGAGCAAAGGCATCAGCAAATAATTAAACTTGTACAGGTCCACATAGGTGGAATGCTCTATGTTTGTGGCCATGTACCTGCTGCAGGTGTCTCTCACATAGTCCAGTTGGAGGAGGTCGGCTACCTGGTACAGGTGCTGCACTCTGTCCAGGGGCACGTGGAGGGTTCCCGAGTAGATGTAACTCAGGATCTCCCCAAACATGGCTACATCCAAACCCTGTAGGGTGATATAATGTATTTAGTACTATTTACTGTATTGTTTAGTTGCTGTATCCTATTTCAAGACATGTACATCTATTTCCAGCTATGGCGAATTTTAAAACTTTTAAAGAGGCGAACTTTCATGTAGTGTAGTTTTTGCAGCGGCCGAAAGATCCACTGCAAATTTATGATACCGTGACTATGCATCATATTTGTTTCAATTACAAATCTGAAATACCTACTTACTGATATTAAAAAAAAAACCTGCTACAAAATAAAACCATTGGCTAAGTAATCGAAAAAAATAGCATTTTTAACATGGCTATTTTCAGTCTGGCGTACGTCATACAGGTTTTTATTGTGTTGCAAAATGTACTAGTAATATAATACATAGGTTTCCTAGAGGGACTTACCCTGGATGCCAAACAAGTATCGTGCCGTTATTTCAGCATTTGCGCCAAATTTAGGCCATGTTGATTTGATTATATGGATGACATCGTCCGTGAGCCCCAAAACTGATGCGCGCGTGCGAATAAAAAAAAAGTTTTGCAAAAAAAAAGTTCTTTTCATTATGAAATCTACGTGGTCATGAGGGTTGAGCAAATGGCACAGAATATGGTTTGGCGAATAATCTAGTCTTCAAGTTCATTTCTTTACAATTTCGTCTTTTTTCGTTTGATTTTGGCATTCTACGACATTGGTATAGTTTTTATTAATTTTTTTTTTAACTTATGGTATATTTTTGCTCATTTTGCAACTGTTTTGTACGATTTACAGTATGGTTGAAACCTTTTTTTTTGGAAACGGCCGAAAATTCATGCGCGCGCGGATGTCATCCATATAATCAAATCAACATGGCCTTACCTTCAAAACAAACGTCTTTTGCCGACTCTCCGCCATATCCGCCGACTCTCGACTTCAAGAACCACATCCTGGACAACTTCGGACTTCTATAAGTCACTTACGGCTCCATGAAACCCGTGCCGATAGCTTCTATCTTGGTAAAAACGAAGAGGAGGCGTTTTCACGGCAGTTTGTTGGCCAGCGGTAGCCATGATGATGATGCAGGGGCTGTACCTCACACTGGGACCTCGTTTTGGACTGCAACTAGACAGGTCAGTGAGGGCCTCTAGCGGTTCAAGTTAGACTTGCAGTCCCAGCATGCAGGTGTCACAGACAACGTTGGGTCCCGGTTTCCCAGTCTCCCCTTTACCATATATGGAATGCAGGTGTTACGGACAACTCAGGGTCCCAGTTTTCCGGTCTCCCCTTTACCATATATGGAAAGCCTCTACCATATATGGAGTTCCTTGCCATATATGGAGCGAAGAGTGACATAACCCGTAGCAGCAGGTTTGGCCTGCAGTAATAACCTTCCGCAGTTAGGCGACGCTTTTGAGCCGTGAGCTGAAGCCCCATAAACTGACAATGGAGGTGGGCAGCATCCGTTGATGGCATGAAAGGATCGAGACTGGACGCCCTACACCAGCGCGAGACGATTCTCCCTTCGACCGGGGGGACGCTAGACGGCCCGAGCCCAAAGTTGGCGCCCGGCCCGGCCTCTAAACTTATCTCTTGGACGATAAATAATTTTAGGAAGGAGTGTGTCGAGATGGGGACCCGGTAGCGAGCCGTGATATGACGCGAGGAGCCGGGTGTGACGCCGTCAGAGACCGTGATGGAGGACCCGTGAGCATGCCGTGAAGGGTGCCCATTTGCGGGATCAAAAGCGTTGCCCGGGCGCCTGACCATGAAGCTAGAAAGGACCGCAAAGCTCAACAATCTGCACAAGAAATGCGGGTCTTGGAACGTGATTGCTTGCTTATAATTCTTCATTCCGTGTGCAGGTGTGTAACATACTGTCATACATGTACGGCTGTGCCATCACTCTGCCCCTCCCCCGTAGCGGTTGCGGTTCATGAGATAGGCGGACGTAGTGCTCTTGCCTACCGAAGGGAAACGGCTCACGGCCCGATACTAGTCTGGGTCCAAGGCTAGTTTGTCCCGTGCCAAGGACTGAACTCAGTGAATTAAACAACAATCGTTCAACTTATACCTACTTGTTATCCGTTCTATTGTTTGTTTACATCCAGGTTCAGACTATTTTACCACAGTGAGTTGACGTGTGCGTGTGTGAATGAATGGGCGGGGTGGATGCAGGTTTGGCAGAAGCGGCGCTTTGCAGCCATGAACCCCGCACTCACGTGCACACGAGAGGCGGTCGGCTTACAATGAAGCAACCGAAGTCGTTCAGCTTTAAATATATGCCTGTAAACATGTATTTGCCGCTTTCAACTGCGTGTATGGGCTGGTAAAATAGCAATGTACATCCCATAATCGTGTGTTGTGGGACTGAGTGAGTGAGCGAGTGATGAATTTGTATGAAAGGTAAATAAAGAAACGAGTCAAGAGCCGATACATTTGATCTGGGAGGCATATGTGAATGAAGGTGTAAAATCAACGGTGAATAAACAGGTACGATGGCATATTTTCACGCGCCAGACTACGTGTGTGTTGCTTGCGACTTGGTTCTGTAACCTACTGGGCCTGGCAACTGTTTCCAGATCGAGTTCTAGCTGCCCTAACATCTGCTTGGTTCCCATTCATATGGTAATGAGTTCGGTAGCGAAAACTCCACCAAGCAGATGTTAGCTGCCCTAACATCTGCTTGGTTTTCATTCACATATATGGTAAAGGGGATACCGGTAAACTGGGACCCTACGTTGTTCGTGACACCTGCATTCCATATATGGTAAAGGGGAGACCGGGAAACCGGGAGCCAACGTGGTCTGTGACACCTGCATGCTGTGACTGCAAATCTAACATGAATCGCAAGAGGCCCTCACTGACCTGTCTAGTTGCGGTCCAAAACGAGGTCCCAGTGTGAGGTACAGCCCCTGCATCATCATCATGGCTACCGCAGGTCAACAAACTAACGTGAAAACACTTCCTCCTCGTTTTTACCAAGATAGAAGCTATCGCCACGGGTTTCATGGAGCCGTAAGTCACTTACAGAAGTCCGAAGTTCTCCAGGATGTGGTTCTTGAAGTCGAGGGCTGCCGGTTTCCCTGCCACCGGCTTGTTTTGTCCGCCTCTACTTCATCGGCGATGTTTACAACGAGTCAAGACAGTCAAGATTTAAGAGCCGATACATTTGATATGGGAGGCGTATGTGAACGAAGGTGTAAAATCAGCGGTGAATAAACCGGTACGATGGAATATCTTCACGCCAGACTTCGTGTGTTTTGCTTGCGGCTTGGTTCTGTGAACCTACTGGGCCTGGCAACTGTTTCCAGATCGAGTTCTAGCTACCCTAACATCTGCTTGGTTTCCATTCATATGGTAATGAGTTCGGTAGCGAAAACTTCACTTCTGCAAAGGCAGCGACGCGTTCTGCAAGCGATCAGCTGATCGCAAAATCACGTTTTGGCTTATAACTCCAGAATAAAGCAACTTTGAACAAAGAAACTTCGTGGGCATGGAATAATGTTTGTTAGGAACATACTGTGTCAATAAGGGATCTTCAAAATGTCATAAATTTCATTTTTCTAAAATAGAAAATGCGGCAATTTATCCCCTATCACACCCCCGTTTTGGAGCGGCGGTTCCGAAAAGGCGCGTATCTCGCTAACGAAGCCTCGCTCATTCCCAGATTTGGCCATTTCGCGACTTGGAAAACGCGATGGGCTCTTATGGGGTTTTTACTTCGGGTCTTTTCGGCTCTCGTTCTTGACCTTGAAACTATTTCTGACCATCAAAATACAATGAATTAATCAGAAATAGACAGTTTTATCAATACACTTTTTAATTTGAAGCCTTTCTTCACCAGAGAGCTTGTACAAACGGTTAAATCTGGCGCTTTTGGTCACTTATCACCGACGTTTCGGTTTTAAATGTTCCATTGTTTCAGAATAGGTACAATATTCTCTTTCTCTCCCTCTTTCCCTCTCTTGACTGTCTAGAATAACGATAAATGCTATCATATATAATATTAATTGTACATGTTTACAATAGTTACATAAATTCAGAACATTTTTATGAGCTTTGAATGATAATTACCTGGATATGATAAATAGCAATGAATTGTAATTAGAATGTTAAGCCAGTAAAATCATTTCTTACTCGCTTATCTTGCAAATTGCATTCTATTGGGTTGCATATTGTTAAATTAGTGCATTGTTGTAATGTAACTAAAACAAAATGAACCAGAGTTCAAGTCATGATACCGATTACTCCATAAATGACGTACCTGACTCCTTTCCTAGCCTCTAATCTTAACTGTTATCATGATATTTGCATGTACGTTCTGTATTCATTTGAAGGCACTCTAGGCTGGAACAATGATTGCACTACAAAATATTTCCATATAATTTATCATGCATATTGTGACAGTGCAATGGATACAAATTATGATAGTTCACTATGTATTACTTCAACAGAATATACCGATCCCAGGAATCAATTAGAATAAAGAATTTTTCTTTGAATTTGTCTTTTATAATTGATATAATGTTGGAAAGAGAGTAGAATTTAGTCACGTGACTACCACTGGCCGCCGCCGCCATTTTGTCCTGGTTGCTAGGCGTTGCCGGGTGTTGCTAAGGGCGAGTTGCACCTCGGGATCGGTATATTTGGAACAGACCATTCCTCGTGAATCTGTTGACAAACGCAAATGGTGATTTCTACAATCTAAAACAATTAAGTCGGTAACGACAACAAAACTGTACAAGACCCAAGAAAAGGTTAACTTCTTCCTCTAACTGCTATCTGAAGACTCAACTGAAGAGTTTATACACTCAGCTCCAATATTTTGTTCTGTTCTACAACGTTTTTTCTATTTCTGGACGCCAGCGCCATTTCATAGAAGATTTACCCTATTTTTGCAATAGAGATCTATTTACTGTACATGCATGTATATATAGCACTTCATATTATTTATGCTAACCTACATTAGCATGAAGTTACCAGTCTCTGACCGATCTCTACATAGAAACCATATAATATTTCTAAAGTACATAATATGTGCATCTTAAAGGACAACAATTAATATAATGTTTGCCGATCATAATGGTTATGGTACAGTTCAAATCTTCACTATTATGTAATATATTACTTTGTACATTTCATTGCACGAGCCCAGCGCTAGCCTGGTTTACGAGACAGAATTTAATATATCTTGGCAGTGATCATATCTATTTGCATTTTCAGCTCGATGGGTGTTTTAGCCTGATAGACGTTATATCGTTATGACACTTTTAAACATTATTAGTTGCTTATTATACAAAGCCATGGTGCTACAAAGACCAAAATACAAATGACCAAAAACGATATGGACACATGTCTAGATCTAACTTATAGCTTCATATGAACATATAAATTACGTATTATATACATAGGGATCAATAAAACCATGTTTTTGCTTTGGATTTAACCTCGTACATTACTAGCACTCAAATTGCATTGTGGTGGTCTCGCACTATAGTTTCATAGAGCATCAGTATGATACCTTCACAATAAACGGACTATCGGGAACGTTCCTGTCCATCCACTTGACGCTGAGGACGTAATATCCGGGCTGCGTGACGTCATAGATGACCTCGTACAGGTCATCTCCGGTGTAGATGACGTTGACTTCCGCCACGGTGTTCTTGCGGGGACCCACAAGGGACACGTTTAGAGCGCCGTTCCCAGCATTCCTAGTTGATACCTACGTCACAAAATTTTAAAATCAAACGGTCTCCGTGTTTCTAGAGCGGTTACGTTGTGACTGAGTTGGATGGAGACACATCCAGAAGGAAAGTGGAAGAGTATTTCGAGTGATAGTCACAGCACTTTCAAGGAAAAGGAAATAAGAAAAAGGGTGCTCAGAAAGAAAAAAATGTGCATGTACTTGTAAGCAATGCAAGTGAGGGTCATCAATTTTCAATTAGAACATCCTGATTCCTTCGGTAAAACCATCCGAACTTTCTGTTCAAGATCTACACAAGACTTATTGAATGTCTCCGAAGATCCTTCCTGACCTGAAAGTAGGAGAATATAGATCTTATTTAGATTCAGAACTTCCAAATAAGACTATTTCAAGATTGTTAATTTGTGCGAAAAAAAGAACATATTTTACTATACAATCGCTTTAAAGCCTACTCTCTATCTAGCATTGTACGATAGACCTACATATGTATTACTAGTACTAAGTACAATACTAATTTCTGTGTTAGGGGGCGCTTTATGATGGAGGGAGAGAAGCTCTATTGCAGATTACACAGAGACCAAGAAAAAGAAAGGATCATATTAAAAGACACCGACCAGAACATGTAACTAGGATACGAACAATACCTGAAAGTTGTTCTTGGCTCCGACGAAGCCGTGGTCCAGCCCCGGGCCGAACGCCAGGATCCTGCCGGCGAGAACACGCGATCTGCTCCGCCCGACCGCCTTCCTGGTCCCGGCGTCACCCTCGTCCTCCTCGTTGGGTTCGTCTCCGGCCTCGTAGCCGTCCCCTCCCGGCGAGAAGACCGCCCGTCTCGGGAAGCTGTGAGGGAAACCTGCCCAGCTCTGCCGACTGGCCTGCAGCGAGGCGGACTCGCCGGGGAGGACACGAGGAAGCGCCGTCCTCATGTTAGCGAACGTACCGTCGTTCGTGAGTTGAACGGTGAAATCGTGCATGCTCTCCGTGTCCGGCAGTGAAGCATTGCTCCGTCTTCGGCAGTCGTCTCCGACGTCGGGGGTGCCTGCCCTATCGGGACGACGCGTCACGCACTCCGAGTCACTTTTAGAGGCCCGCTCGGACTCATTCGGGATGCGGAGCCCACCGGTAGAATAACTGGAATCCGACTCATTGTCGTCAAGCAGCCAATAAGGGATTCTGTCTTCCAAGGAGGAAATGTTGTGTCTTTCCTGCCACGTGTAAGGCCCCTTCCCGTCCACGTAGATCGTCACGTCGGATATGCCGCTATCGTCGGTGGACTGCCGTGTTGTCTTCCGGGCTGTGTCGTCGTCGAAGGGCCCGAGTTCGCCCGAAGTTTTCCTCGCTGCAGCGCGAAGCGCCTCGGCTAGAGAGTTCCTGTGCTGGGAGGAGTTGTGCATGACTTCGCTGGCAATGTCGGAAAGCTCCGACACCTTTTCGTCCACCGAGCGAAGGAGGTTCCGTATGCTGCTGACTCCGCCCATAGCCCCGTGCCTTCTCCTCATGTCCTCCCGGGTACTGTCCTGGTACCCGGTCTCCTTCCGGATCTGGTGCGAGTGGACCTGAAGGGACTTGTGTGAACAGTCAACCCTAGCGGCCGGCCGGACGGAAAATGTGTCTACAAAACCAGAGTTTAAAGCGTCTTCCTCGATACAATCACTGACCAGCACGTGAGTCGAGCCGTCCGGGCTTTCATCCTCTTTATCCACCACAGCTCTCCGGAAGGATTCCCGGATCGGTCTTCGCCTTCTTCCATTTCTGTCCGGTTCTGTGAGCATGAGGTTTTCTACAGGCTGCTGAGGGCTGTTTTCTGGGTCTTGGTTAACCTCCAGTGTCAGTGAGTTCCGGTACACCATGCCTGGTTGTACCCTTTCTAGTTGAGAAATGCTTTGGAATTGCACGGCTTTGGGTGGCAGAAAGGCAGCTGAGTTTCCAGTAGGTTTGAACTGGATGGCGGTGTTCCTATTGGTCGGCTCTGCCGACATAACGCTCCAATGGCACGACACTTCCTCACCTTCGCCTGTTACATCATATCCGGTTCCGGTATTTGGAGCGAGCATCAGCAGTGATGATGGTGATGGTGAATGAGTTTTCGCATCCGCTCCAAAATATTCTGTCTGACTGCTGCCCGCGTCTTTTTCCGTAACATTTTGGACCTCATCGCCCTGCGCATCATCTATAGTCGTCACGAAAAGAGACGGGAAGTTCCCATCATCTGCCATGAAGGACAACTTTCTCTCTGACGCTGATTTCACGTGCTGATCTCTCTTCTGTCTAACAACACCATCACCATTCAACGCTACGTCGTCAGCAAAAACTTTGGCTTCTTCCTGCGCGGCTAACAGTTTCCCTTGGCTCTCCAGGTCATACTCCCCTATGTCAACAAGAATCTCACTTCTGTACCGCACAGTCATCCTTCTACCCGGCTCCTTGTCCGCCTTAACGGGTATGATGTCCTTGGGTTGTACGGCTGGGTCTGTGTCGATGATGATCCAGTCCTGGTCCATGTCCATGTTCTCCAGGTCCGAATCGTACATCACGCCTGTCACGGGAGAGTCCAGGTGATTCAGCTGATCCATTATAGTGTTCAGTACGTCCACGTGACCACCGTGTTGTCCCTCTATCTGTACATCAGCGACAATAGAAAACGTTTCCTCATCCACCCTGTCTGCGCTAAACATGACTGTCTCCAGGTCAGTTAATGGGGACTCTAATAATGAGGCTCTTCCGGCAATGGCACCACCGCTTGCTGCGAAGAGATTGCTTCCATTACCGGCGTTGTAATTCATGTCATGTTGTCTTGATGCGGTGTCATCTGCACTTCTGGTAGTCACCTCTTCCCAGTTTTTGACCAGCGTTGACACCGACGGTCGGTCGGCGATGCAACTTCCTTCAGCATCTTCAGAAATTGCATCGCACACAATGTCTTTATGTCCAAATGGCTCCTTGGCAAAAAGCAAAGAAGTTTCTCCTTCTTCAGCCTGTTTGAGATACGGTACAAGTGAGGACTGTCGCTGGAGGGGGGCTCTAGTCTGGCCATTCCTTCGACTTTGACCAATTTGCCCTTGGCTTTCTGCTTTTGATGATCCGGTAGTGCCAGCATCCGAAGCAGCTCGCCCAGGCAGCAATGTGTCATCATCAGGCCCTACGTCAATCAGATCATGTACAACATTTATGTCCCTTTCTTTTGCCATCTCTCCTTGCCTCGCTGTATTAAAGTTTCCTGATGGCTGGTTTTCAGAAGGTAGTTCTGTACTAGAACCGCTTCTCTCGTTAAAGACGCCTAACAAACCCATGTCTGACGTCAGTAAGTCCTCTTGATCGTGGCGACACTCGTCCTGTGGTCTGCTGGTCGTCAGAAGATTCGTAACGAACGGATTCTGGAAACTATGGATGTCGTCTTGCCAACCGGAGTCTGCAACCGTTACTTCGGATGACTCTAGAGGTGTCAGACCAGAGCCTACGTTTGGTAGTGTGTTGTCTGCACCCTGTTGTCCGTTGAAAATGTTTGTTTTGGCTTGTTGTTGTGTTTGGGTGATCTCTTTGGAGACTGACGTTGGTTGACTCTGCTCTGCAATGTCACGAAGGGACAGGAATTCTTTGAGTGTTATCAGGGCATCATCGGAATCTTCTCTCGTTGCTTCCTTTTCCTGAGCATCGTTTGCCTCTTTGAGAGAACCTTCCTGAATTCTCAGCTCGAGAAACTCTTTTAAAGAAAACAGCGTTTCCTCGGTGGTACCTTCAGCAGTTGTGTCCAGGCTAGTACATTCTTCCGTTGCTGAAGTCTTTGTTTGATTGGTGCTTTTCTGCATAAGGTTGATCGCCTGCATTTGTTCGAAAGTGCTAAGGGACAGAAACTCCTTAAGAGACATTAAGGTGTCATCTGTTATTAGAATTGGTCTTAAGAGTGTTAATTTTTGTGGTTCTGTTAAGGGCGTACCCTCGCCTTTCTGAGAAGACAAGCCCACGACATTTGGTGGTTCCATAGCGAGGAACTCCTGCAGCGACAGTAGCCCATCAGTTGACTGAGTGTCCTCCTCTTTGTCCCTCGTCTTGTTTTCAGTGTCAGTCGATGCTAGGTCTTTTACTACAGAACCTGCGTCCGGTATCTTTATATTTTCAACATCTTTACTTCCAAAGCCGGAGTCAGTGGTGGTGTTACTTTCTAAGATACTTTCTGGTGATTCTTCCGTTGCTTCCGACATCACACTGGCTAGTTTCATGTAAGGTATGAGGGATGACTGCTTGACCAACCGGCGAGATGGGTGGGGTACTGGACGCTTTTCAGTCTTGCTCCGGTCATCAGTTGTCGTGTTGGTCGACTGAATGTTTACAGTCTCAGCTTTGCCATCATGTGGAGTTTCCTGCATTGGTACGCTCTCCGCATAAACAGAGATTTCGGGAGTTACCGGAAGTAGCCGCACGACAGACGACTGTTCTGACGAAGCTGTAAGTCCTTCCTCCGATGCGGTCTTCATGTACGGTACCAGTGACGATTGCCGTGTGAGTACGCGGTGCCGTGAAGCTAGGGCAGACTTTCTAGGGACGTGTGTTTCATCTGGTGCCTGGGTAAGTAGACCTGTGAGCTGATCATCACGCTTGGAGCGTTCCGCTGAGTTTTCTGAGGGAGAGCAGCTCTCAGGATCCCCGTTCTCTTTCAGGTAAGGGATGAGAGACGACTGATGCACAAGCTTCTGCCGTTTGTTCTCCGGTACCCTAATGTTTGTGTTTGAGTTCTCGGGTGCATTTTTCACCCACGAAGGAATGACGTATGGTCCTTCCTCCTTCAGGTACGGAACCAGCGACGATTGTTTGACGAGTGTTCGGCGGCGAACTTTTACGGAGTCATCTTCCACACCTTTGGAATCGCCTCTTCTCCCGTTTCCTGACGATTCCGACCGCACCTTCACCGCTAACTCCTCAAACGAATCTACAATAACTTCACTCGACAGCTTCTTGGACATCGCTTCGATTGCGGCTTTGTCTAACTCTTTTTGTCCTCCTGCTTCTATCTTCTTCCCTTGCGTCTCAAAGCCTTCCTTTGAGCCACTCTGCTCAACCTTGTCATCTACACTAGTGCTGACGCCTTTCCAACGTCCACTTCTGGCCTCGTCTCCTGTTTGGTCCACTTTATCGCCGCTTTGCTGTGACATGAGGCTTCCTTGTGAGCTGCTGCTTTTAAAGATGCTTGCCCGGCGGGAGGCATCACTGATGTCTTCTCCCATCACGATGATATTCAGAACCTTCCTCTTCGTCACGATCCCGGACGCAGAGTTTTGCCGTTCCAACCTGGCCGCCCGCTGTCCACCTTTCTTAGTCTCTGGTGTGTCCAGGTCCGGAATATCGACGCTCCCGCCTGTGTCCTGCCGGATGACTCGCCTCCGGATCCGGAACGCGCCCTCTGACACATCCGAGTCGGACTGTTCCTGATTTCCCGAGCCCTGTCGGTTCTGAATTTTCTTCCTCTCGTTCGCCTCTTGTGAGCTCGAGTCGGAACCTCCCGAGGGCTGCTTCACGATTCTTCGCCGGTACGTCCCTCCTACGTACCCGCCATCCTCACTCACCGCGCCGGCTTCACTGCCGATCACAGACGACTCTTGGACGATCCTTTTTCTCCCGTCATCCTTAGCAACCTCTACCTGAACCCTCTCAGGAGGTTCCCTGTCCGGGCCTCCAGTCCGCCGAACTGTTTTCGGAGTCGTGATCTCTTGCTGGTCTTTGAACAGCACCATTTTATTCTGCTCCAACGAGGAGTCCTGTACGCGTACTCTGAAGGGGCAGCCCTCTACCGGGCTCCCCATCCAGAGCACCGTGATGAGGTGGAACCCTGCTTTCTTGGGCGTGTACCCCACTTGGAAGAACCCCTCGTGCGTACACACGAACCCCAGGTAGACTTTATCAGGGTCCTGCTCTCTCCTGGGTCTGGGTCTGCCCTTCTGACCGGTCCGAGTCACCTGTTTGCGTTTGTGTTCCAGGAAAATCTGGTTGAACGTCTCGACGCTCAGCCCTGCCCTCTGACGCACTCTCTCCGACGTCACTTGTCCGGTGGGGACTTTGATCTGCACTTCAAAGTCGATAATGGTTGCGCTTCGCGCGAAGATGTTGAAGGTGGCCTCCCGGTTGACCTCGGCGACCGTTAGCCCGCTGCCGCTGACGGTACAGATGTCCCTGACCACCGTGTCCTCTAACGACACCTGGGGGCTCAGGACGCGTTTTGATTGGCTGTTGGTGCTCTCCAGGCGCATGCTCACTTGGCGGAGGCGGGAGACGTACCGGGCCAGGCGGTCGGATGACTGCAGTCTGGAGTCGGAGATCTCTTCCGGGGCAATCAGCTGCGAAGACATGGACCCGGAAATTATTATAGAAGGTGAAACACAAATCAGCTATGACATAATACTTCGGTTACATCCCCTGAACCTTGCACTATGATAGTCTTAGCATAACAATTGAACGACGGCGATGTTACCGTAGTTTTCATGTTGTATTTATTTAGTCAAAATGCTTTTAATACTAGTAGATTCATGAAGAGGTTTCTACGCCCCCTGTTCCTACCTGCGGCACACCCAGGTTGCGCTCGGCCAGCTTGAGCCCCAGGCGAGCGTTGTTGAGTCCCTGGGACGGGTTGAGCAGGTCGTACCGAGGGCAGGTCCCGGGGACCAGCGCCTCCACCAGGGCGCAAAGCAGCGTCCCGTCCGACCAGGAGCCCGTCCAGTCCCGGGGGTGCTTGTCGGGCACCTTCTCCTGCACCCATCGGAGCAGCTGGCGCTTACGGGACGTCTCTGGTGAGAAGAGACCCGCCGTTAGACATTCAATTTGTCGATGTATCAAGACACGTACACAGACACCATCGTTACTTTGCCATTAAAAGGGCTTGTGGCTGCGAAGGACTTTCTTACCCAAGGGCAGACACACGTATACGTAGCGAATCTTCTATTTACACGGACATGTGTGATCTGACTTTCTCACTCATCATGGCCACACCCATTCAAATGTCCCTCATTCCAATGCTTACCCATACATCTCACTTCCTCTCCGCCCCCTTTTGAAGAGTTTAAAAGTACCAGCCAACCACGTGCCTTTGAAGCATATGCAGCAACGTGATTGGTTGATAACTTTCCAGCCAACAGCAGGAAATGATATCTGATTGGCTGACGTTCTAAGTGGGCATTGAGGTCATCTGCTGCTCTCTAATTTTGGAACTGTATCCAACCTTTTCAAAGCCCCGCACTTCTCACCTGTTTGGAATAGCGCCAGTAGAGCCTCGGACCACTGTCCGTTGATGGCGTCAGTAAAGCTCTGCGGCAGGTAGTGGAGAGGGTTGAAGCAGCTGAGGAAGTACACCAGACCCGACAGGTACCGCAGCAAGACGTCCCAAAGGGTGGCTCTCTTCTTTTTCCGAGCCATCATCGCCTTTCTTTACCTGTTGAAGTATAAAATTTGAGATTTCAGTACAATGTAAAGTGATGTGCACAGATGTTGACCAATAATAAGATAAATTACCACATTTTGCCAAGAATCTAGGAATGAATCCAATTTAGCAATTGCAACATTATACAGAGTACAGACACGTGAGTCGTTAAGCACTGGATCAAAGATAGTGGACAGTTTGTGGCGTCCTCCGTCTCCATTCAGGGATATGGCTGTATTTGATCACACATAGAATATTGCAATAAAATCCCTCCCCGCTCAGCGTTACGGATATCCAGAATGTCACCATTTAAATTTTGGGTTGAAAACGATGCCGAACTTATGAGACGGCCCCGATGTGCCCCTCTTTGCCTAGGGACAAATTGCCATTTCTAGTGCCCCATAGAAACAAATGGATGCACGTCCTCATGGTAATGAATTGTACTGATTGTTGCTGACGGGCTGACATGACAGTAATGATTCCATTTGTTAGGTACAGATTGGGTCCCCTCTTACCGCCTGAATTCTCGTTTAGAATGAAATGACATAAAACGTATGACTTTGATGCTACTGTAGGCGGTTATGGTACGCGACCCCCCAAAAGATTTAAAAAAAAGCTAGTGTTCTGGAAAATGCACCCTGGAAAACTACAGCCACTCTACGAAAGGAATAACAGTCTAAGGTGAAACATTACCCAACAAGGCTGCGATTCTAGGCTAGTGTTTTAACTACTATACCACTGTATGAAATTTTACATGTCATATCATCCGCATTGAATTTTGTATTTCTGCTTGATACATTTTAATAGACACGTTGACCGTTAAAGAAGAAAAGGGCATTTATCGGACCCGCTTTAACAGCGCAGTGAACTAGGGCGAAAGGCTCTTAAGCGCACTCTTGACTTATTGCAAACGCATTAGTCATGAGTGCTGAAGTGGCATCGATGGTTGTCAAGCAGATGCTGTAGTAGTAGGAGCCGCCGGACGGCCGCGCGGTCTGGTTGGAGCGCCCGCTGCACAACAACACTATTTTCAGCACCACGGTCAAATCAAGCGGGTTCTATAATAGTACAGTACAGTACAACTAGAAACATACCTTAGAATCAGGTCTAGAAATAGTGGTATATCTGTAAAAAGAGACACTCCTTTCCCGATTATTTTCGACTCAGCACGATCTACTAAGCATCTAATGCTATTGTTACCATATAGCGTAACTCGTACACCTGTATGGTTTTTCCTTTGTTACTCTGGATATGTAGCCACAACTACAACTTTTGTGTAAGCTAGACGTCACATCAGCGATATATCAAACAAAATGCCTCCTAGCATAGCCAGTCACCAAGGCGATAGGAAGTTTACCTGTATAAAAAGGGAAATGCGTTTCCTTACCATTATATAAGATCTCTGGTGCGGAAACCACACGCCCACCCCCTACTCCTAGCCCAGCAACAGTAGGTAAAGAGTGTCACCACAAAAAAACACCCCCGTCTCTAATGGAATCATCCATTCGCTAAGCATCTCGGGACATAAGCTGTTACTACTGTGCACTGTCATTTTTACTCTTAGAAATGTCATTCTTACTCTTATTTTTATTGATTGTTTTAGTATATAAATTCAATTTCATGTAGTTTATCATGTAAACAGCACACATGTACCATAGACCTTTCTACACCTTTACCTTTTTAGATGATTGAATATTTATGGACGAAAAATAGATAATGATAAACATTGCAACAGGTCTATATATATACAATGTACAGCAACAGTACATGTATATGAGAAACTGTCCCAGATTTCACCCAAATGGCACTCGCCAGTTGTCATGGTAACGATGACGCGTGAGGGGTATTAAACTAAATTTAAGAGGAAAATGTGAATAATACAAGACATGACAGGAAATGAGGCTGTAATATGAGACGTGCTGATTTTTCTCTCCAAACGGATCCAGGCCGCTGATGGTTTGTTGCACGCAAAACATCGTTTGTTGCCGGGCGATTTCAGGCAAAAAGGCGTCAGGAATAAAACCTATTAGTGCTGTTCTAATAACGGCAATCGGTGTGGCCGAAAACATTTTCTTTATGGAGCTGAGTATATAAGAAAAGGTGGTCACAGGAGGGTTTGATGGAGACTATCTATTGGAAATAAGAGTCTTTCACGGCTACACTCCCTAGGGTTAATGTCCTTAAAATTGCAAGATGAACAATAATAGGATCATTATTATATAATATTTTACAGCAATTGCATTGTTGTTTTTTCATTGCTCTGTTGTTGCTCCCTTGTTTGTGCATCAGTGGTGCATTTGTACTGGGAATGTGCACGAATGGAAATCAGATACAAGTACCGACCTGGATTTTTAAAATGGATATTCAGGGCGTTTACGTTTGCATAGGTGCAGGTACACCTTACGTTTAGGTCCGGACCTGTACCCAAAAATACAAATTCTACAGATACAGCTATACTACACAACCATGCCTTGTACATGTCCTGTTTAGTAAGCAGATCAATACGTTATCAGCTGTAATTTTTCCCAGGTTGGTGTAGAAAGTACTTCTTGTGTTGTACAGATTTGTGCCCGTGTTTATATAACGTGATCTCTTCTACAATTTCATGTTTACATTAGCACACCAGACATCGGATTGTTCATTTGTAAGTGAACTGTCATTTTGTGTGTATACTGTATATATACACAGTATGAAATAAAGGGATAGGAGATGACAAGACAAACAAATACATAGATACCTAGATAGATGAATGTACGAATTGATAAATACATGGATACATGCATGTAAGCATGCATAGATACACAGACATAAATAGATAGGTAGATGAATAGATGCAAAATATGCTGCCGTGATATTTTTGACGTAGCCTTAAGCTGCAGATGTCCTTGTACTAATATCTTCACGTCTCTAAGACTCATACATACAAAACAAGGCTTCAAAGCATGAAACCTTGAAATTCTAAAAATAGCTGTCATTATTTCAAATGATCAGTATTTGCAAGGTTAACCTGGAATCCAGACTGTTAAAAGGGCCCACACAGCAGTGTCTTTTTCGGGTGAGTTGAGCTAAAGTTTCCTCGGGGGCATGTTGACCCTGGAGCCGAGGAGCCGGCCTGTGTAGGCCCTGGAAACAGTCTGAATTCCTGGCTATTACAAGACCCACCTGTTACGAGTATCAGTGTTGAATACCGGTCTTAACGCCGGCGCTCGGCCGGCAGCTCTTATTGCTTAATATCACACTGGTCCACAGAAGTGTTATTATTGTATTCGTGCCAATCTGAGACTTTAATTGGTCGAAAGTCACGTGGTCACCTGATGACTACAAAAGCGCTTTATGCAAATGAGCCACAAAGCAGGTGTCTCGTTAACCCCACTATAGGCGAGATCGGATGACATTGGGATTTTCCATTATAACAAAGGGCAGATCTAGAATGGAAAATTAACCTATAGGGCCGAAACAGCTCAATAAGTAGGTTTAGGGTTGTCAACCTTAAAGATGGGTACAAAACAGAACACAGCCCGAAGAAAAATTGGTTGTTGAAACCGTTTACAGATACAAACGAAAAACCAAATGGCTGGTGTTGCATGGTCTAAACAATGTGTAAAAGCTTTTGTCAATTGAATCCCATCAAAATGATTGCCAATTACCGAGTAGCTGGGGCTTAATGTTGATTGAAAATGTTACACGTGTATTTGATACCCGCACTTTACACTGATTACCTACACGCACACTTTTATCATTCTTTTGATGAAATTTCTGCCTAGTTGAGCACTGACAACGAACCAGAATAATGTATGAGATAGCACTGGCTTACAGTCACACTCTCATTTACGTAGCTTCAATTATTTAAAAAAAAATTATCCTTTCGGATGGGGACGTGAAGCCGATGGTCCCGTAGCTTCAGGCGTAAACCTCGGCCACCATACTTCTGCACGTAAAAGAACCCAACACACTTATCGAGAAGACTTGGAGAGCCCAAATTTGCTTTGCTAAAAAAGCAAGCTATAGCTAGCGAAGTCGCACTGTACTACTTTACCCAGCTAGCTAGAGGAAAAGGCATCATGCTTAACCTCAGTTGAGGATGACTGATTCGCCTTTGCTTTTAACGCCCCGTAGGTCTAGAGCGGATTACAGTTTTACCTTTACCTTTAACACATTGTACGTACAGAGCGGATCACCATAGTCTAGCCTGTTGGCACGTCTGCCCAAACACTAACATCCTGTTACACCCACAGGCACGGCACTGCCCACACGTCAGGTACAGGTGTCCATTCCCGGTAGGGTTTCACTCTGTACGCTAAACGTAACAATGAGCCGGTGTTGAGCCAAATCCTTGAGCTGCTACATACGTTAGAGGTCGGGTGTTTATGGCTAGGGTTAGGGTTAGGATTGGTGTTATACGTTAGGGTTAGACTTTAGGATCATTGTTCAGGGCTAGGGTTAGACACTATAATTATTGTTTAGGGCTAGGGGTAGACTCTGGGTTAGACTCACGATTAGGGTTAGGTTAGGTTAGATTTAGTCTCCCACATCATGACCAACCCCCTCCCACCCCTAGCCTTGTCTCAGGTATATTGAAAAACCCCAAGTAGTGTCGGAGTCATGTATTTAGCAGGATCATGTATCTGGCTTGACACACGGCCGATTTTCCCGCCGATTTGAACTTTAAAAAAGCGTCCAATACAATTTCAGGGCGGCGAAACAAAAACATTCTGGATAAGAAAATCTGTTTGATATTACCATTTACTGCCATTTCTTAGCACATTTTTGGCATAATTAAAGCGTTTCAAACAGCCCGAAACAAGCTACGTGAGGCGTCTTTCTGGTAATTTGCTACAAAATTCTGCACTAAAGATCTTCGACGTCATTCCTTAATTTAAAGCCCTCAGCCCTGTCGGCTGAGCTATTTTTCTTGCTACCTGACGCCAGCTTTACGCGATTCGGTGTAACCCTCTCCTTTCAGAGACTTTCTATCTGTTAACGACACTTAGCGAATGACGTCACCGTCCGTGTGATCAACAGCGTCCGTGACGTCGGTGACGTCATTCCTTACGGACAGCGGCTTTCAAGACGCTTCGTTCGTTCATTATCATCATTTTCTCTAACGGCTGTATTCTTTAAGCTAGCGTAGACATTCCATCTTTGGCGAGTGACGAAGATGCAAAGTAGACCGCTTTTATCTGAATGGCGCTAGAATATGTCAAGTATTATCTCCAAACATAGATGTTGGATCCCATTTCAGATAGTGTAAATCGTTCGACCTGAGACTGAGTTCATCAGTATAAAAGGGTCTGTATGGGGGTCCTGGCAACGCTTGGTATAAAGTACAATGTGGGCTTACAACGGCTCGCGTTTTTTAACCAAGC